GGCAATTAACTAACGTTATATGGTGCATGAATATGGCAATTAAATTTGAACTTTAATAGTTGAAATCAAAGTATGTTGTTATTATTCCTGAATCAGATGTATCACAGTACAGTTAACGCGAACATGATTAATAACAGAAACACTCACGTAAATCGTGTTGAACTGTCCGTCGTAAAACGTGACGGGCTTTTCCAGAGTGATCTCGCGCGTCTCGTCGGTCCCGTCATCAAGAGACTGATCGCCCGCGCTCGTCCCGAAGGGAAACAGTTCCTGTCGTGTTATCCCGCTCACTGAAACTGACAATCCGAATAACAGGATCCACACTGACCATCTCTGCCCCTGCCGACCCATTTCCAGACCCGAACCGAACCTGAAGCTGCCTGAGAGAGACTGACTGACTGAAGATTGAGCGCGTGTCCGAGGCGCGCGCTCCTCCCCTGTTACGCAGATGCCAACCCCTCACTCTCCGGCACAATGCATACAAAGTTACAAATTATATTGGTTGTGTTACTGTAAAATTAGTAATACGAATATACCATATGTACGGTACATGGACTAAAGTCCGGGTTTAGCTGTCGCACTATTTTAGTAGGCTAGCCTAATTCACTTCAGTGAGCTCCAATGCATTTAGACACAATCTTAGTTTGCAAGTTGGCAAGTTAGAGTGTGTGTGTGTGTGTGTGTGTGTGTGTGTGTGTGTGTGTGTGTGTGTGTGTGTGTGTGTGTGTGTGTGTGTGTGTGTGGCCTATAACTATTCTGTTTCATAGCCTATTAATAAAACTAATAATATATGACACACACACACACACGCGCGTGTTTTTTCTACTGCGACCTCGTGTGTGTGTGTGTTTGTGTTTATATTGTCTGGAAAAAGTTTAGATTTAACATTGTTTAAATATGCATATGCTGTTCCACATGCAGAATAAAAAAGAAAAATGCTTTTATTCCATGTCATGATTGAAAATGCACGCCTCATGGATTTTTTTATTTTTTACTATTAATATTATGACGCTATTTTGTTATTTTCATGGAGCATCCATGACTAATATTCATGACAACGCTTATTGTCTCAGCAAATCAGGGAGTCCTGCTCATTGACATCATGTTGCATAATTAATATAACGACATTAAACAAACATCAGCGATTGATCTTTTGATGATGTAATAATTGAACGCCACCCAAAAGACCATCAGAGAAAGGCCTTGTTTTGGCACAATCACACTCCCTTTGAAACTACTCAATAATGGCCAATAATATCCTGAGTTCACTGAACTGTGTGCAAATGAACAGTGACATGACAGCATTCCAGATTATCGTTCACTGTCAAGTGAAAAAAATGACTGTAAACTAATGGACTTGGACGGTTAGCCCACTTTAGTTAATTAAAAGTTAAATAAAAGTAAAAAGATACTATTATATTTAGATCCAGCAAACTTCACGAGTGCATTTCTTTGGCCTACAAAAAAATAATAAATAAAAAAAAAAATAAGAACATTTACGCAAGACTGTATTCTCAAAATATTACAATTGTCTTCTGAAAATATTTTGACTTCAATCTCTAAATATTTCGACTTTTAAAGGGGTCGTATTACCTTTTTTATCTTTAAAATGCAATTTCTTTAAAAGCAAATATCCCCCTTGTAACTTTGCAGATGTTGTTTATCCTCAAACAGCAACATTACACACTAACTAAAGTTAGAAAAGTGAAATCATAATCAACCACCGCTTTAAACTTGAAATGTATATGTGCATACAACATGAAGGTATAAACAAATAAACTAGGTACTGTGAAATATTACATAATACCGCCATCTACTGGTCAATCATATCTCTACAAGCATTTAGAACTGAAGAGAGAATGAATCGTAAGTCCAATTTAATTCTGATTCCTAAATTCGAATGGATAAAAATTTGAATGGAGGATTTTAATTTGACTTTAAGTACATATTTTTCAAAGAAAACATGCAACTGTTGTGTCAGAATGAATTACTTTAATATGCATTAAACATTTGGGCCACTTCCAGGAATGTTTGAAATTCCACCTTTAGATATCTGTATTTATTTTATTTTATAAATATGTTTAACTATAGTATATACATATATTTTCAAGACCATTATGGAAAAACACATACATCAATTTCCATCATCATTTCTCAATGACACTAAGTGGAGCAAAACAACATAAAGTGCGTTTACCAGATGGAAACCTTGAACAAAACACATGAATAATCTGAATATTTTAGTTCCCTCTGTTGTATGATTGTGTTTAACATCTTTAATTCCTCTTTCTGTCATTTCATTTAAATTGTGGCCAATTCAATGTAAGTTCACACTTAACTTAAAGACACAGGTTGCACTGAATGTTATTTTGCTCAAGTTAAGGATTTGTCATGCAATCTAGAAAGTCTGCTTCTAAGCACAGCTCGAGATCTGTCACTCAAACACACAACTCTGCGATTCTGTTTGATCTCCTGATAACGACCATAGTTGTTCGGGAAACACACTCCAGCTTCCCACACCTTTAGGGTCCCCCAAAAAATACCGAACGGGAAAATGGGACCCCATTCCTCCTGCTATACAGTATTCATGGTCAGTCATCAAGAACATGCCAGCATTAGCTTATATTTCACAATGAGTTAACCTCTTAAACAGCGCCCCTATTTTTGAGAATTTTCTGAAAACGACATACCCAAATACAAATGTGTGTAGCTCTTAAACCATATGGTCCACATTCAGAAATCTCATATATTTTTTTAAACTAGACACTTGAAACTTTGTTACCCAAGAGTCATAATAACTCAAGGTAGGTAAAATGTACATGAAAGTGACTCATGATTTCTTTGAATGAACTCCATTTAGGGAAAAATTGATCAGAATTTTATGTTAATGAATTATCAGATATTCCACACATTATTATATTATCTTGTGTATGTTATATTGACTTATATCTAAAATTAAAGTTTAGATTATCTGAGACACATATGAAACATGAAAGCATGCATTTCATTCCCCATTATAAGTGCATCACATGACCCTAATGTGAATATGGGAGAGGGTACACAGAGAGGGTTCCCACGGCTTGAGGAGGCTTGTGGCGAAACCAGACGGGTAAAAGATATATATGCCCTTCCGACCAGAGATTTAATCAGCCCGTACCGAGGTCACAGTAAAACACCAGTCCCATGAGCCAGTCTGAATATTAATCAGCTTCACTTGATTTTGGCAAACTCACAAGAAAGAACTAAACTGAATCGTAAATGGAAATAAAGATGCAGAGTAAAGCTTTAGAAAAAAAATGTGTGATACACTACATTTCTTCAATCACAAACAGGACTTAGTCCGTGCTGTTATTGTTAACTAAACCTATTAAAAAATCAGACATAAAAAAATTCTATAAATAAAATATGATTTATTAGATCATAATAAAAATATGATATAAAATCTTAAATGAAAAACTTAAAGAAATTGAAATAAAATAATTTTAAGATCTATAGAACTAGAACTGAAATGAAAATAAAAGCTAAATAGATATATAAAAACTAATAAAACTTTATACAGCTTATGAAAACCTTTTGCACCATATTCTAATTTTGAATTTTGGGTTTTCATATCTGTAATCCACAATCATCAAAATTATAACAAATAAAGGCTTGAAATATATCATTTTGCAGGTAATGAGTCTATGTAATATATTAGTTTCACCTTTTACATTGAATTACTGAAATAAATAAACTTTTGCACGATATTTTAATTTTGACTGGGTTTTCATATCTGTAAGCCATAATCATCAAAATTATCACTAATAAAGGCTTGAAATATCTCATTATGCATTTAATGCGTCTATATATTAGAGTTTCACCTTTTATGTTGAATTACTGAAATAAATAAACTTTTGCACGATATTCTAGTTTTGAATTTTGGGTTTTCATAATCTGTAATTCATAATCATCACAATTATAACAAATAAAGGCTTGAAATATCTCACTTTGCATGTAATGAGTCTATATAATATATTAGTTTCACCTTTTAAGTTGAATTACTGAAATAAAATGAACTCTTGCACGATATTTTAATTTTGAATTTGGGGTTTTCATAATCTGTAAGCCATAATCTTCAAAATTATAACAAATAAAGGCTTGAAATATCTCACTATGCATTTAATGCGTGCGTCTATATATTAGAGTTTCACCTTTTATGTTGAATTACTGAAATAAATGAACTTTTGCACGATATTCTAGTTTTGAATTTTGGGTTTTCATAATCTGTAAGCCATAATCATCAAAATTATAACAAATAAAGGCTTGAAATATCTCACTTTGCATGTATTGAGTCTATATAATAAATTAGTTTCACCTTTTAAGTTGAATTACTGAAATAAATGAACTCTTGCACGATATTTTAATTTTGAATTTGGGGTTTTCATAATCTGTAAGCCATAATCTTCAAAATTATAACAAATAAAGGCTTGAAATATCTCACTATGCATATAATGTGTCTATATATTAGAGTTTCACCTTTTATGTTGAATTACTGAACTGAACTTTTGCACGATATTCTAGTTTTAAATTGGGAATTTTCATAATCTGTAATTCATAATCATCACAATTATAACAAATAAAGGCTTGAAATATCTCACTTATTGAGTCCATATAATATATTAGTTTCACCTTTTATGTTGAATTACTGAAATAAATAAACTTTTGCACGATATTCTAGTTTTGAATCTGTGGTTTTCATAATCTGTAAGCCATAATCATCAAAATTATAACAAATAAAGGCTTGAAATATTCTATATTCTATATAGAGTCTATATAATATATTGGTTTCACCTTTTAAATCGAAATTTTGCAGGATATTTGTCGAGTTTCACCTGTAAGTGCAAACGGTCATATTGGGAAGAGAAAGAGGCATCAGCATCCCGTGGGAAGCGTGAGCACGGGGTTAAAGGTACAGTAGCGCACGTCAACACAGCGTCACTGGGCCCGTCCTCCCTCTCCCTCCCTCCAGCTTTCACTGTTCGCTGCACAGCATTATCCGGCTTCCTTCCAGCTGAATGCGGCTCACGCACGAGGAACCGCTGCATGCTTTCGTTTCCTCTGCCATTCTCATTTCCTTCCCCTAAATCCCAGCGCCGGCTCTCTCGTCTACAGGGGTTTGAACACGAGAAGGAGGAGCTGAAGAGCGATGGAGAACGAGCCTCTGCCGACTCTCAGCCCGGCCGTGCCGCCGTTCGTGATGCTGGGTTTGACAGTGGCGTACACGGTCTTCTACACACTGCTCTTTGCGTTCGTGTACGCGCAGCTGTGGCTGGTGCTGAGATACAGACACAAACGCTTCAGCTACCAGACTGTGTTTCTGTTCTTGTGTCTGCTGTGGGCGGCTCTGCGTGCGCTCCTCTTCTCGTTTTATTTCAGAAACTGTGTGACCGCAAACACACTGGGACCCTTCTCCTTCTGGCTGCTCTACTGTTTCCCCGTGTGCCTGCAGTTCTTCACCCTCAGCCTCATGAATCTGTACTTCGCACAGGTGAGTTACACACTGCCGTCCTTTGAACCTCGGTAAAATCTGCAGCAGGTCACATGCAAATTTATGAGAGTGGATTACACACACACACACATTTTGAACAGCTTTCATTTATATATTTTCATTCTGTGCCTGATTTCTGATTCTGTTGTATTAACTTACACTGAAACAACTATCCTTTTTTTGGCTACACGTCAATCATTCTTATTTATTTATTTTAATTCACTCTTAGAAGAAATGGTTCTATTTAGAACCAGGAATGGTTCCATCCCCCGCTTCATATATGGAACTCCAAAACGGTTCTATATAGAACCATTTTTTTTTTGGTAAAAGGTTCTATTGGCCAAGTATGGAACCCCAGGGTTCTATATAGAACCCAGAGGAACCCTTTTTTTAAGAGTGTATAGAACCTTTTAGGGGTTCCAAATACGTAGCGCTGATAGAACCTTTTAAGGTTCTATATAGAACCTTTTCTTCTAAGAGTGTAGTATTATATTTAGAGCTGTGCAATGATTAATCGCACCCAAAATGAAAGTTTGTTTACATAAAATATGTGAGTTTATTGTGTATAATGTTTGCTCATGTTTGCTGCTAATGCACACAAAATAATCTTGTTTATTTATTATACTAAGTGCCTTTTTAATTATTTATTATTTATTCTTATACTTGTATTTTATGCTTTTATTACATTTATTATGCCGTGTGTGTTGTTTTCTTGGTTTGTTTTTTACAGCTGCTGTCCTCTGTGTTGTATAACTACAATGATAAAGTTTCTCTCTCTTCATCTAATTATTTTGTATATATAAATACACAAACATGCATGTATATATTTAAGAAAAATGTGTTATTTTTAATATATAAAATCTAGTATTTAAATGCAAATATTTCTCAAATATATACATGCATGTGTATGTGTGTGTATTGATATATACAAAATAATTATACACAGTTAAAAATGTTGGGTTGTTTTTTTTAACCCAACCGTTAGGTTACACATATTGGGTCACTAAGTTGGGTCATTTTTAGAAATAACCCAACTGTTGGGTTAAATACATATGTACACTTGTGTATTTTGAATTTATGTACACAGTTATGTATATTTACTAGGGCTGTCAAACGATTAATCGCATCCAAAATAAAAGTTTGTGTTTACATAATATATGTGGGTGCACTGAGTATAATTATTTTATATATATATATAAATACACACACATGCTTGTACTGTATATATTTGAGAAATATTTTCATGTATATACTGTATAAATATTTATATATAATTTATATTATATATAAATATAAATATTTCATATATGAATAATATTTTTTTTCTTAAATATACATGCATGTGTGTGTGTTATATATATATATATATATATATATATATATACACAAAATAATTATACACAGTGCACCCACATATATTATGTAAACACAAACTTTTATTTTGGATGCGATTAATCACGATTAATCGTTTGACAGCCCTAATATTTACATTAAATTCTAGACTCCCCGATATTTAATTTGTAATTTAAATATATAATTGTGGGGACATATTTATTGTTTAATACAAATAAACAATCTGCATTGAAAACAAAGTATATTTATTAATGTAAGAAATGCAAATAAATAGTTAACTTAACTGTTGGGTTACTTTTAACCCAATGCATTGGTTGCTATACCAGGTGCTATACCACCTCATAGTTGGGCTACCTGTTGGGTTATTTTTGACCCAAAATTATTAAGTGATTACACAGTACACACACTTACACACACAGTACACACAGCCCTAATACGTGCCTTTGCAACCCCGTATGTAATGCATTTGTCTGTTTTAACTGATTCATGGAATATACATCACATCAAAAAGTGTAAGAAGGGTTAAAAACATATAATGTATAAATTGATTTAGTTTGAATGATGTTGCCGAGTAGAATTATTCTTCCTGTTTTATAGTGATTAAAGCTGCATTTGCACATGAATCATACAGTATGTGTGGGAGTGCAGTCAGCGTGAGTAAAAAAGAGAAGTGAAATCATTCACTGCGGTCTGATGCATTTGCACCACACTGTAAAAAACCCGACAGTAAAAAACCTGTGAATTATTTGCACCATACCTACCATATAGCACATGTGCACTTACTGTATAAGAGTAAAAAAGTACAGGAAAAGACTATCCTGTTGTCACTATGGGTTTTTAAAGATCATTTTTGGAATAAAAGAGCTTTTAATGTGTACTGTATATAATATAATCATAAATAATTTCATTCACAACAATCTAATTTTAAGAACTGTCCATATTCCCTTTTTACAGTGTATAATCACACACTTTAGTCCCTCAAACTCCCTAAATCAGATCTTATATGATAAGAAGAACATGTTGACATGTCAATGTTTATAATGGATGCGAGCAGTAAACCCGCTTAACAAACTTGCTTAACAATCTTGTTTATGTTATGATCAAAGTGTGTGGTGACCTGGCTTAAAAATGCTTTTTGCATGTAACATTTACACTAACTTTCTTATTTCTGGGACAGGTCATTTTCAAGGCGAAGTCTAAATATTCACCAGAACTTCAGAAATACAGGTGAACACTGATCCATAAAATTATCATCTGAAACTCGTTGTTTATCATTTTTAATGATATCTATATGGTGTGTCGTCAGGCTGCCGCTGTACCTGCTCTTCTTGTGCATCAGCATCATCTTCTTGCTGGTGAACTTGACCTGCGCGCTGCTGGTGAAGATGACGAAGACCGACACTGAGACTGTCGTTCTGGTGCGCGTGGCCATCAATGACACTCTGTTTGTCCTCTGTGCCGTCTCACTCTCTCTGTGTCTCTACAAGATCGCCAAGATGTCTTTGGCCAACATCTACCTGGAGTCCAAGGTAATCACAAAACAGATGAAAGCTGTAATACGTTATAAGTACATCCAGCCGCTTGTTATCTCAGAATAAACCCAGACAGGGTGATCAGTAGGGTTGGGTATCGAGAATCGAGTATCGATTGGAACCGAGACTAACTTTTCGTTTTTCCCGGAATCGTTCAAAAGTTAAAATTTCGATTCCTAGTTTCGATATTCACAGTCCGCCGAGCGGAAGAAGAAACCGCTGAACAACACCAACGAAGAAGCGTCTACTGGAAGTGTTGGCATAACCGCGCGAGTCGAACATGAGTACCTTACGTCGGCGATCCAAAGTGTGGCTTCACTTTTCTAAAAATAACGAAATCTCGGCAAAATGCAAAATTTGTGACAAAAGGAGTATTTTTACAGAAGGAGTATTTCCTTCAGAAAGGCCGTTGGTCAGCAAGGTTAGCTAAACTTTTTTGACCCTGCCTCTTAAAAGAATCGGAATCGAGAATCGTTAGGAATCGGAATCGGAATCAGAATCGTTCAAATTCAAACGATACCCAACCCTAGTGATCAGGATCACATTTGGACTCGGAATTGACTCGTACTCGAACATTTTTTTTTTTAGGACTCGGAATTATTCCCGAGTCCACTCGAGTTCAATTAAAAATATTTTTCATGATTATTAATGTATGTTAATCAAATATTTCTTTAAATTGATTGACACGCCCAGTGATTGGTGATTTTCTAGTGCGCAACTGCACATGACAAATTGTAATAAAATTACTTTTAACACCACCTACTATGTGGCCTTTTTACCCTAAACTGATCATATTTTTAAACTCTAAGTAAATTCAGTAAAAAAAAAAAAAAAGGATTTCTCTAAGTAAATAAAAGTAAATTAGGTAATCAACCCTCACTGGTCTCGGACTCGACTCGGACTCGACTCTCTCTGGTCTCGGACTCGACTCTCTCTGGTCTCGGACTCGACTCTCTCTGGTCTCGGACTCGACTCTCTCTGGTCTCGGTGTCGACTCGGACTCGACTCTCTCTGGTCTCGGTCTTGACTCGGACTCGACTCTCTCTGGTCTCGGACTCGACTCTCTCTGGTCTCGGACTCGACTCTCTCTGGTCTCGGACTCGACTCTCTCTGGTCTCAGACTCGACTCTCTCTGGTCTCGGACTCGACTCTCTCTGGTCTCGGTCTTGACTCGGACTCGACTCTCTCTGGTCTCGGACTCGACTCTCTCTGGTCTCGGTCTTGACTCGGACTCGACTCTCTCTGGTCTCGGTCTTGACTCGGACTCGACTCTCTCTGGTCTCGGACTCGACTCTCTCTGGTCTCGGTCTTGACTCGGACTCGACTCTCTCTGGTCTCGGACTCGACTCTCTCTGGTCTCGGTCTTGACTCGGACTCGACTCTCTCTGGTCTCGGTGTCGACTCGGACTCGACTCTCTCTGGTCTCGGTCTTGACTCGGACTCGACTCTCTCTGGTCTCGGACTCGACTCTCTCTGGTCTCGGACTCGACTCTCTCTGGTCTCGGACTCGACTCTCTCTGGTCTCAGACTCGACTCTCTCTGGTCTCGGACTCGACTCTCTCTGGTCTCGGTCTTGACTCGGACTCGACTCTCTCTGGACTCGGTCTTGACTCGGACTCGACTCTCTCTGGTCTCGGACTCGACTCTCTCTGGTCTCGGACTCGACTCTCTCTGGTCTCGGTCTTGACTCGGACTCGACTCTCTCTGGTCTCGGTGTCGACTCGGACTCGACTCTCTCTGGTCTCGGTCTTGACTCGGACTCGACTCTCTCTGGTCTCGGACTCGACTCTCTCTGGTCTCGGACTCGACTCTCTCTGGTCTCGGACTCGACTCTCGCTGGTCTCGGACTCGACTCTCTCTGGTCTCGGTCTTGACTCGGACTCGACTCTCTCTGGTCTCGGACTCGACTCTCTCTGGTCTCGGACTCGACTCTCTCTGGTCTCGGTCTTGACTCGGACTCGACTCTCTCTGGTCTCGGACTCGACTCTCTCTGGTCTCGGTCTTGACTCGGACTCGACTCTCTCTGGACTCGGTCTTGACTCGGACTCGACTCTCTCTGGTCTCGGTCTTGACTCGGACTCGACTCTCTCTGGTCTCGGACTCGACTCTCTCTGGTCTCGGACTCGACTCTCTCTGGTCTCGGACTCGACTCTCGCTGGTCTCGGACTCGACTCTCTCTGGTCTCGGACTCGACTCTCTCTGGTCTCGGACTCGACTCTCTCTGGTCTCGGACTCGACTCTCTCTGGTCTCGGACTCGACTCTCTCTGGTCTCGGTCTTGACTCGGACTCGACTCTCTCTGGTCTCGGACTCGACTCTCTCTGGTCTCGGACTCGACTCTCTCTGGTCTCGGACTCGACTCTCTCTGGTCTCGGTCTTGACTCGGACTCGACTCTCTCTGGACTCGGTCTTGACTCGGACTCGACTCTCTCTGGTCTCGGACTCGACTCTCTCTGGTCTCGGTGTCGACTCGGACTTGACTCTCTCTGGTCTCGGACTCGACTCTCTCTGGTCTCGGACTCGACTCTCTCTGGTCTCGGACTCGACTCTCTCTGGTCTCGGTCTTGACTCGGACTCGACTCTCTCTGGACTCGGTCTTGACTCGGACTCGACTCTCTCTGGTCTCGGACTCGACTCTCTCTGGTCTCGGTGTCGACTCGGACTTGACTCTCTCTGGTCTCGGACTCGACTCTCTCTGGTCTCGGACTCGACTCGGACTCGACTCTCTCTGGTCTCGGTCTTGACTCGGACTCGACTCTCTCTGGTCTCGGTATCGACTCGGACTCGACTCTCTCTGGTCTCGGACTCGACTCTCTCTGGTCTCGGACTCGACTCTCTCTGGTCTCGGTCTTGACTCGGACTCGACTCTCTCTGGACTCGGTCTTGACTCGGACTCGACTCTCTCTGGTCTCGGACTCGACTCTCTCTGGTCTCGGTGTCGACTCGGACTTGACTCTCTCTGGTCTCGGACTCGACTCTCTCTGGTCTCGGACTCGACTCTCTCTGGTCTCGGACTCGACTCTCTCTGGTCTCGGTGTCGACTCGGACTTGACTCTCTCTGGTCTCGGACTCGACTCTATCTGGTCTCGGACTCGACTCGGACTCGACTCTCTCTGGTCTCGGTCTTGACTCGGACTCGACTCTCTCTGGTCTCGGTATCGACTCGGACTCGACTCTCTCTGGTCTCGGTGTCGCCTCGGACTCGAGTGAGGTGGTCTCGACTACAACACTGAGCGGTTTATTCTGAGATAACAACCGCCTGTATTTTTTATCCATTGTAAAATGAATTGTATGATGTTTCGTACCAGAATTGAGTCTGAACGTCACGTCTCGTCTGTCCAGGGGTCATCTGTGTGTCAGGTGACTGCGATCGGAGTGACGGTGATCCTGCTGTACTCGTCTCGGGCGTGCTACAACTTAGTGGTGCTGGCACTGACAAAAATCAAGAGCATCAACTCATTCGACTACGACTGGTACAACGTATCAGACCAAGTACGTGCCAAATACCCATAACAGAAAGGTAAAAAAATGTTCCAGGTTCATTGGAAATTAAAATTTAGTGACTCTAGATATTTGTATCAACTGTATCACAGAAAAAAGCACAAATTGTGGTTACAATAATGCACGTTTGATACAACGTTCAAGAGGGACTTTAGTAGTTTTGTTTTCATGATGATGATATATTAACCCTATCGTGTTTAATACACACATTTCTAAACCCTCTAATTGATCAACATGATCAAACTTTTGACAAGTAAAAGTCTTTTAGTATAATTGTACAAACGTCCTCCTTCAGATCGGGGTTCACGTGTCTTCCTGATGTCAGATCTGATTTTTCATTTTTCAGATCTGAAGTAAACGTGAGAATAACTTTGATATTGTTAGTAAAATTTCAACTGGACTGAAGCAGCTTCAGGTTCATCAGAGTATCGAATATGTTCATTATAGGTTAATTATTGCATTATATATTAACTACAGAGCCTTGATCATGAAACTATGGAAGCTTGTTTCCGCCACATAATGAAAAATAAAAAAGGTAGCTCTGACTTTATTTTTCTTCACAATTGCGAGATATAAAGTCAGAAGAATTTGTCTTTATTTCCTTATAATTGGCCTGATAACTCGCAATTGCGAGTTTATGTCTCACAATTCTGAGAAAAGATGTCAGAATTTTGAGATATAAACTCGCAATTATGTGTTATAAACTCACAATTGTTAGATAAAGTCTCAATTCTGTCTTTATTTCTCACAATTGCGACTTTATTTCTCAGAATTGCGACTTTATCTCGCAATTGCGATTTTTTTTCTCATAATTGCGACTTTTTATCTCGCAATTGCGATTTTATTTCTCATAATTGCGACTTTTTATCTCGCAATTGCGATTTTATTTCTCATTATTGCGACTTTTTATCTCGCAATTGCGCCTTTATTTCTCATAATTGCGACTTTTTATCTTGCAATTGCGATTTTATTTCTCATAATTGCGACTTTTTATCTCTCAATTGCGATTTTATTTCTCATAATTGCGACTTTTTATCTCGCAATTGCGATTTTATTTCTCATAATTGCGACTTTTTATCTCGCAATTGCGCCTTTATTTCTCATAATTGCGACTTTTTATCTTGCAATTGCAACTTTATTTCTCAGAATTGTGACTTTTTATCTCGCAATTGCGATTTTATTTCTCATAATTGCGACTTTTTATCTCTCAATTGCGATTTTTTTTCTCATAATTGCGACTTTTTATCTCTCAATTGCGATTTTATTTCTCATAATTGCGACTTTTTATCTCGCAATTGCGATTTTATTTCTCATAATTGCGACTTTTTATCTCGCAATTGCGATTTTTTTATTTCTCATAATTGCGACTTTTTATCTCGCAATTGCGCCTTTATTTCTCATAATTGCGACTTTTTCATCTTGCAATTGCAACTTTATTTCTCAGAATTGTGACTTTTTATCTCGCAATTGCGATTTTATTTCTCATGATTGCGACTTTTTATCTCGCAATTGCGACTTTATTTCTCAGAATTGCGACTTTTTATCTTGCAATTGCAACTTTATTTCTCAGAATTGTGACTTTTTATCTCGCAATTGTGACTATTTCTCATAATTGCAACTGTATTTCTCCAGAATTGCGTCATTTTATCTCGCAATTGCGACTTTCTCAGAATTGCGTCTTTATTTCTCAGAATTGCGACTTTTTATCTCACAATTGCGACTTTATATCTCGCAATTCTGACTTCATATCTCGCAATTGTGAGATAAAAAGTCGCAAATCTCTTTTTATTTTTTTATTCAGTGGCAGAAAGAAGCTTCCGTATGAAACTAAGCACATATCTTACTGAGACAAATTATTAGCAAATATAGTGAAGACTAATATTTTTGCTCAGTCTTGGCCTCTGACTGAGGCATAATAGCCTGATGTATCAAATATGAATACACATATGCAAACTTGTTCGATTTTATCTTAAAGTTCAATAAACTGTTAAATTTACACATTTCCAGACTTTTATTTCACATGTCAGGCTTTACAGGGTCAATATTGCTGATTTATTTTATTCTCCAGGCAGATCTGAAGTCGACATTGGGCGATGCTGGTTACGTGGTTTTTGGGGTGATCCTGTTTGTTTGGGAGCTGCTGCCCACATCCCTGGTGGTCTACTTTTTCCGAGTCCGTAAGCCGACTCAGGATCGGGTACGAGATTTATTTATTTTTTAAATGAGAATGTACATCACAGGAATAAACGACATGTTCATGACCCTCTCATTGACATGGCCGTCTCATCTCTCCGGCTGCTAGAGCGCAGCGGTGATCCCTGGGCACAAGTTCTCATCCAGAGCTTATTTCTTTGACAACCCGCGCCGTTACGACAGCGATGATGACCTCGCATGGAGTATCATCCCACAAAACATTCAAGCCAGGTATGTCAGTCAAGTTTGGTTAATATCACTTAACATCATCAACAAATCAGCCATGATGCAGACAACAGAAATTAACCTCTCAAACTCTGATAAACCATTTCTTATTATTTTTGTAAAAAAAATTTTTTACAAAAAAATAATGTTTATTAGGTTGATATTATGCATTCTCTGTGTTCAGGTTTGACTGTTATAATAATGCAAAAACTGACACTATAAATCAAAATTTCAAACAAAAAGAGGAGTCTGATAATGTTTTAAAAATCATCTTTGATCACTAAAATTACATATTTAAAAGATATATGTAAAATGTCTTCGTGCCTTAAAATATCTTGAACGTAACTCGACACCCTTGCGTCATTTAGTATACGTGGCTCTTTTTACACATAATTTGTCTTAAACCACATTTTATACACCATATAGACATAAAAAAAAAAAAACATTAAAATCTGGATTTTCACCACAGGGGGAATTTAAAGTTATGCTCTATTTTTTTTGGAAAAAAAAAAAACCTCATACAAATCTTACACAGAAATAAATGAATGGTGCATAATTTAGAGGTGAATGTTTTTTATAGTACCATGAATTCTCCTAAAACGAATAATATTATTGAATAAAATACAGCACATTTATTTCTTTGGGGTTCATTCGGTCACTTTTGGCCGTGAGGAGTATGAGTGTGACCCCTAAATGAGGAGCATTTGACCAGAACAGTTTAATTGACTGCCTTTTGCCCTTAATTCACAGTGTTACGCCGGACAGCTATGACTGGAGCTCCAGGAACAACAGTTTCACCGCATTCGTCGAAGGCGAAGAGTCTCATCTATTACCAGAAGAGTAAAATCCCTACTAGAACTTTCCCAATGAGGAGTTTGATTATTTTGCACATTCCCCATCACTGTGGCATCAGTCATGGGTAATTGTACAGACCGCAGATCTTTTTTTACCTATATTTATTAAGGTATCTCTCAATATAATCCCACAGCTGGCATCTGGAAGCAAAACTACCAATCATTTTCTCTATAAAGAATTCAATTCTTATCAATAACGTTCAGTTTTTAAGAGCGTCCTCGTCTGAGTATGTTTCCGTAGAAGTAAATATGATTTCAAAAACAATACCCATAATTCTGAGAGATCCCAGTTACAATGGAAACACTTCCGCCCACTCCCATGATGCATTGCTAATTAATTAATCAAGTCGGCCTCTCTACATTCCACATACTAATACTTATAAATTTAAATATTTGTATTGTATTAAATATTTGTTTTTAATATTTAAAATATTTTTATTTAAATATAAACCTAAAATGTCTTATAATCAGTGACTGTAAGTCAATAGTTTTATATTGTACAGTGTTTTTGCTTTGATTATTTGCAATGCCTTATGGGAAATGTAGTTCATTGCCTCAAAGAAATTAATCACAAATCCTTCTTATTTTCATCCTATAGAGAAAATGAATGGTAAAAATACTTCCACGATCAATGCTGGTCAAAAAACATTAGTGTTCATTTTTGCGTTCTATTTTCCACAGTCAATTATATACAGAATATATAAATTAAATTAATATGTTATGTATACTACTAGATAAGTATACAAACATTCTGCTCTTTTTGTATTGCTGCTTTATAAACAAAATCAGCATCTTCATTTCCGTTCTATTCGGATATGCGACACGAACCTGTTTAATAAAACTTGGCCTGGACTGTGAAACTATATTGATACTCTCCTGTGGAAAAAAAATCTATTTTTTGGAGATACACATTTTTCTATAGACAACTGCATTAACAGAATTATAATTTTATGAAGACAATAAAAAAGTATTTATTTTGAAATGTTCAGAATTAGTGGTTGGATTGTTGTCCATTGTTTTTATAAATGCATTTTTAGTGTTTGATTGTACAGTTTGTATCTTTGTTAGCTTTTGCACTCGTGTCACTTTGTCTGAATTTGTTTTCTACATTAATAAAAGAGAAATTATCAAAATGACTTGTCTAGAGATTCAGTGACGACAGGATTACCTGCATTATTTCAACAAAAATGAAATAAAGACAAATATTATAGGTTATAACATATCAAGTGAACATATATATTACTGACTAAACAGAAGCAACATGTGCTTTCTTATAAACAATGGTTGATCTTGTTAATAATATACTCATTCATATCTTTTTTTCTTTTTTACAATCTATCCTTTGTAACTTGTCTATTATAAAAGAGTGTTGTTTTGACAAATGCCTCCATTCATTCAGACGTACAACAGAGCGCTTGGCCTCATGACGTACTGTAAGAGTTGGCATGTGTCTCTCTGGACAAAGAAAGCTTCATATAAAAGATAAAGAAATATTATACAATCTGGGCCACTTATTTGAATGGCTAATCGATGTTGTAATTGATTATTTACTCACCTTTGTTCCTATCCTAACCCATATGACTTTCTTTCTTCAGTGGAGCATAAACGGACAAATGTTCATGCTGCTCTTTTCCATGAACTGAAAGGACAAAAAAGCATCATAAATGTTCAGTTTGTCTAAGTATTCAAATTTTTTATTTATATTTCAACATGTTTCATGACAGGCTAACTTACGTCAGGATGTTTAATACACTTGACTTGCATAATTTGTGTTTCTCAGAAGCGGAAGTCGTCATAATTGGGTAAACTTCTATGGCATAACATTTTTATTTACATTGTGTGTGTTCCCCATTTGCTCAAATAGCAAAAGAAAAACTCCACAATAGTGTTTCACAACTTTCAAAACAGGAAAACAAATACTAGAGAGAGATTGACAACGGCAGAGTCGAAATCGGAAGAGAAAAAGATGTCAACTTAACCTTCGCCGCTGAAACGCCCTCACAACAGCGTTGTAGTTTTTTGTAATTTGAGGTAATACAATACAAAGTATAGTGTTATAAATGTAAATACATTCTTTTTAAGTTTAAAAACTTCGCGGGATTTGCGAAATGCGTCATTACACTCTACAAACATCCGCCACTGTGACCGTATTACATTAGTATTACTGCGCCACAGCGTCATTCGCCTCCTGGAGAACTACATTGCTTGGCGGAAGAATAATATTTTTTTTTATCTAATAATAGCATTGTATTTTTGTGTCTCTGTGTTTATTAATAATAAAATATTAATTTTGATTATGTATTAAAAATATATTCATTTTGTAATAATAATATATTAACATATTCATCATTAACAGGCAACGTCACCAACAGCGAAAATTCGGAAATTCATCTATCTGGGCCGGAAACCTCCGAGTTGAAATCTTGCATTTGCACTAATTCCGACATGAATGAGTATAATGCAACATTAATCTCGTGTATAGTTATTATGGAAAAATAACACACACACACACACACACACACAAAAAAAAACTTACAGAGTTTGTGTAGAACACAACTCCAAGTGCGGACTATCAGCGCAGTAACAGCGACACCTAGTGGAAATAGACGAGCACTGCCATTCTCCATCACATCATTTGTAAATACTTGGGATAAATACTTCTTACACCAAGTCAAGTCAATTCATGTCTTGAAAAATTATTACCAGTCAAAGCAATATTCTCAAGAAAATATGTTTAAAATATTTCAGATCGAGCAAAACATGGATTTTTTCTTTTTTTTAGAATAAACTAAAGCAATTAAATGCAAACGTAAAATTTTATTATAATAAAAACAAATATAATTTATAACAAAATGTGAGTTTACTATATCCTATATATTAAGATCTATTATAAGTATTGTAAGTATTAACAACACATAATAAATGACACATTTTATTTTTTCATTCAACATATACACGCATACAGTACATTTGTCAAAAAATCCACATGAGCAGAAATGTTCCCAGCATGCACACCACGTTTTTACATTACACAATATTGCATTCTGGTTACATTGTAACCAAATCCAATTGCAACTTTGAGAAACATGATACTTTAGTAGCAATTGCAAATACATCTTAATATTGCCGCCTCATTACAGTAATGTGAAATTACATTCATGGTAGGTTTTGTAAAAAGTAGTCACAATACATAATTAGAATGTATATTTCAAGAAGTAAACAAAGATTGAGACTTGCCTTGCTTTTGGCCTGCTTAGTTGGGGACATTTAATATTCAACAATATTATTGATCTGTGTTGTATTACTTTCATGTTATCACTGTGAAGCTGCTTTGATACAATATGTATTGTAAAAAGCGCTATATAAATAAAGGTGACTTGACTTCTCAAATATTTAAAATATATTATTTTCTATATTTTATTAGAGATATCATTAAACAGTTGATCCGAATAAACAAAGGTATAAGTTGTAACCTGTCAGAATTATTTTGATTGAATCAAACATTGGTAAAACATTATTTTGAGTGGATTCTACCAAACTACTGTTTCAATACAAACAATGTCAAATTGTTTTCTGGATTAACAGGTGATTCACAGAGAAAAACGACTCAAGTTTTTCTCTGATGTCCTTTGCTTGTGGCCTGTCCTCGGGTTTAGAGGACAGCATCTCCTTGATGAATTTATTCTGAAAAAGAAGCATAGCTAAATTATAGGCTAAACTTAATTTAATCAATATTTATTTGAAGGTAAAATCAAGTGTCTTACTTCAGTCGGATAACGGTCACAGAAACCTTCCGGAAACCTTTGCTTTCTCAGATCTGGCCACAGCTGTATAAATAATAATAATAATAAATGAATAACTACCTGTAAATTACACTTTCATTTTTGCAGATATTGATAATGCATACTGTCATTAAATACAACTGACCTCCACTCTCTCGCTAAGAGTAGATATTTTCCAGAGCATCTCAAACCATACGAGTCCAAGTGGAAATATGTCTGTCTTTTCATCATAATCACTGCCCTTTTCCTATGGTAAACAAGTCATTTAGTTATTTATTTCTTAAGTCTTGCAGTGTAAATGTTTCCAATAAATGCGTCACCTGCTCAGGACTCATATATGGAGGTGTTCCTCTTCCCTTTGACCTCTTTATGGAGTCACCGCTGTCATTGGTCTGATGCACCGCCAGCCCAAAGTCTCCGATCTTCACTCGGCCGTCAGAGCCGAACAATATGTTATCAGGCTAAAAGGACAGTACATATGGGTAAAACACTCATCACACACGTTTAGTTGCCTCCTATCAACTGAAAGGACATACCTTCAAGTCTCTGTGGATGAGATTGCTTGAATGGATGTATTCCACTCCACTGATAATTTCACAAAATATTTTATAGATGTCCATCGTGTTTCTCTGAGTTTCCTTATGATTTCTGTCATTTATCCATGTAGTCAGTGTTCCTCCCTCACAGAACTCCATCTGAATAAACAAGTACGTCCCGGTGCTGAAACAGAGAAAAGGCTTGACTTGACTTGATTAATATTTAATAATGTGTGGTTTTATCTAAAAGAGGTCATTTAAAAAAAAAAAAAAAAAAAAAATATATATATATATATATATATATATATATATATATATATATATCATTGATCATTTTCCCCATTTTGGCCCTTAAAATTAAACAGGATGTTTTTTTGCTTCTATGAATGTGAAATAAACATGATCCAACACATTTTATCAGTATGTGCATATTCTATCTCTCCCAGTTGAGCTAACTCTGTAATAATAGTTCATCATGCTAAACATGTGACATCACATAAGAAGACTGCTGGACTTACTCTGCTGTCACTCCCAGACTTGCCATTCCTGATGTGGCATCACTGACATCATCATCGTCGGCATCATCATCATCACCGTCATCATCATCATCATCATTCTCTTCACATCCAGATCTGTCAAAAGTCACTACATCTGAAGAAGAACGTGATGTGCTAAACATAAAACACATAAACGTCACTATTGAGAAGCACTCAGGATATTATGAAAAAAACGGAGACTTGCTTACTTGGACGCTTTGCTTCTTTCTTGGTTTGATGTGCAGTTCTCAGAATCTGACCAACATGTAAAGTAGCGCACTATGTTTGCATGTTCTAGTTTGGCCAATGCCTTCACCTCAGAAACAGCTTTCCTGTTAAAAAAAATAAATGCATGAATAAAATCAAATAAATGCATGATACATCAGTGAAAGAATGCATCCATGCATGAAGAAATAAAAGCATGAATGAATGCATGATTAATAAATGCATTTTTAAATGCATGAAAAAATAATAAATGCATGAATAAATTAATGTATGAATTCATGCATGAATAAATTAATAAATGCATGAATAAATAAATAAATGCATGAATAAATGAATGTATGTATGAATGAATAAATAAATAAAAGCATGAATAAATGAATGCATGGATTAATAAATAAATAAATGCGTAAACAAATGAATGATAAATACATGTAAATTGTGTGATCTTTTTTTTAATACCACATAATCATGACAACTGTCCTTTCTAAAATCAGATATAACTTTGTTGTTACTTATATAATCGTACCCAGTAAAAACGACTTTCTTTACGGCGTAGATCTTGTCATCAAATTTATGCTTTACTTTATAAACGCAGCCAAAGCCTCCTTCGCCAAGTTCTGCGATCACATCAAAACTATGAGACAACCTATAGATGATAGAAACATCAAACAGCAAATCATGAAGCAATATCCTATAAACAGAACATTCATTTAAAACATTTTGTTTGTATTTCCCCCCCTGAAACTGTAAGTTAATCAAGTTACTTGAAAATTGCTTACCCTGAATTTGAGCCCAGTCTATTATCACTGGAACAGGAACTAATAAAAAACAAATAAAAAATAAAATAAAAATCCAAAACATTGGCACACCAGATATAAAGAGTCTTTATAAATAACGATTGTAAATGTTTTACTAAAACAAACACAACCCAAACCTCTCTTGATTGTAACTTCCATTGGTCTCCTCGTCATTCAGTGTCCAAGTGCTGGTTTCTTTACATTTCTGTACCTTTCCCTCCTTCTCCATAATGTACAGCTGTTTCTTCATCACTTTTGGTGTCTGTCCCAGTGATTTGGCGATTTGATGGGCTTTTAAAGCTCCTGATTTCAGCAGATCCCTCACATGTTCCTCTTCGCATGAGTCTCTTGAGTCTCTTGTCGTCTGGGTCTTTAGCTCTGGTTTGAGTGTGTGTTTGGCCTCGGTCTTGTTCTCCATTAGATCCCACACAGGAGGATTTTCGTCAGACTTGAACACCTGTTGTGATTTCTCTAGGTTGTACAAATGCCGGTTCGCGGTGGATCTGTTTAGTCCGAATTTTTTAAAAATGGTTAAAACTGTGCTTTTGCCATTTTGTCTCAAGAAGTCAACGATCATCTTCTCCATTTCAAAGTCGGCAGACATTTTGATTCTGTCCAAATGTTTTCTTACAGCTGTCAGATTCTTGTTGTGCTCCTTCTCTGGTCGGTCTATAACGTTAAAGACCAAAACACACTCGAGCTCCGTCCGTGTTGGATTTTGACCCAGCCTTCTAGAAGTTTCGGTTTCGATTCCTTCTCCCTTTCCTCTAAACTGTCATCATACATGTTATAACACGCCACTCTATAAGTTTCGAGTCAGTAACGTTAAATATAAATAATAGCCGTAAGAGTCGTAAAAGCCGTAACAGTAAGTAAAATATACTATTCAGGAAAAAAAAATGAAAATTACAGTAGCATACAAAAAAAAAGTTTATTGGGGAAAGTGTTGTGGGAGATTCGGAAACAGTCTAATGTCTTACAAAAAGTATTTATTCATTATTTAAGAGCTTACATGAATAAAGGTAAAGGGAAGCCTATGTTCGCTGTTCTGACGTGTTACCACATGACGTCATTCCCTTTTGTCACCGAATATGAAGACTTTTATTTTAACACTATGTCAATTTTCTTAAATAAATAAATACAACTTTTTAAATCTACAGGTATGTTAAAACTAGTTTGGATTACCAAAAACCAGGACACTCGCCCCGGCAAAAATAAACTCAAATTAAACGTTTACTCAAAGATGCCTTATTAATTTCAATACATTTAAAGTTGGCTATGCCTCCTCTGCATGGATAGAAAATTGTTATATTACAAGACAAATTCTGATAGGTTACTAAGCATGTTTTATTATGACAAGTTTCAAAAATAATGAATGAAATAATAGAAATAATGTCTCTTAAATAAATAATTATATAGATAACAAATAACTAAAAGAAATGCCTCCAAATTGAACAAGAATAGCTCTCACAAACTTACCAAAAATAAATAAAATAATATTTAGTTTTCTTCCTCTTTATTCTGTTTTTCTTCCTCATCCTCCTTGTTTGCCCATCTATGTTTTGCTGTAGAGCTAATCCTTCCCAGCAATTTTTTGAAAACCAGGACATTATCATCACTTGGCCAGGACAGGTCGTGAAAACAGGACTGTTGGTCACCCTAGTTAAAACTTTATCTGACACGTTCTGCAATAATCTGATCATATTTTTGATCAGCTGTCAACCTCATTTTTTTACATTTTTATTTTGACACATATGAGTGAGTAGGCATTTATTTTGACCTTTACAGAGTGAATATGATTCTTATTTACAATGAGAGCCAGGCAATTTAAGTATTTATGCATTGTAAAAGATTTTTATTTTCACAGAAACAGAAACATCAGACTCACAAACAGTAAAAGAGCCAAGAGGAAAATAAATATTGCCCCAAATGTGCCACTTTTCCCCACATGATATATCATAACGGCAGACGAGATTAAAAGCTCCATGATTTTAGCTCCACAATATTATGCAATACAGACGTGATAACAAGCGCTGACAGATCCAACTTCTGCTCCAAATGTAATACATGCAAATAAGAAACGGACAGAATCAGCAGTCAACCACTGGTACAAGATATTTCATGTAAACATACATATTAAATTGATCAGAAATTAGTTTTTAGACTATGAAAATTGCACATTTTGTCACATGTTTTTGTGGAAATGAACCGACATTCTGCTAAAAAGTGAGTAAATGACAAAGTTTATTTTCTTAAAAATGTGGTTGCTTTATAGACTGAATTGCACTCGCCATCCGAATCAGTCTGTAAATGTTACAGTATAAGCAACTGCTATTATTATAAAGTCATAAAGAGATGTCATCAGAAGGTCTTGATGTCTTTATCTGTCTTCAGGACTGAAATATCCAGAGCCAGTTCTCTGATCAGCTCTGTGGCGTCCGGTCTGTCTTCAGGATTGGCGCTCAACATGCGATCTATGAGCTTGTGCTATTTCATCAGCATCACCCCACCGTGAAAAACGAGACAGCATGTTAGATAATGAAAGTGATCATAGCAGGCATTGATAATGCACTAAAAGAAAAAGCATGCTCAATTTCAACATTACACTCACCTCAAAGCTAAATTTCTCTGAGAACTTTGGTGGAAAAACCCTACTTCTTAAATCCGCCCAAATCTACAGTAAGAGTCACAAAAAAAAAGAAAAAGAAAAACTGAATTCCTTCTAACATATCAGATATAGTTCAAAATGAATGCATGCATATGCATTATTGAATATATGAATCAAACCTTTTTCTTTTCATGCGCTGTGTTGAAATTATAGATGAGTTCAAAATATATGAGGCCCAGAGCGTATATATCCACCTTTTTGTCGTAGGATGTTTGAGTCGCCTACATTTTCAGTTAAAACAATAAAAACTTCAGCAACAGATACACAAAAATCATTGAATGGATTATTAGATATTATTAGACATGATTCATCACTGAACACTCCAGTAGTGTTTATTTGGATTATGGGTGGTGAACAGCGTTTCATGTCGATATGAATGACTCACTTGCTCCGGGCTCATGTAACTACGGGTTCCTGTTCTTTTAGTCCGTTCCAGCATTCGCTCATCATTGTCATTTTCAGCCGCAGTCACGAGGCCGAAGTCTCCAACCTTCACTCCTCCGTCACTGCTGAACATTATGTTTGGAGGCTGAAACAAAGAAACAGAGCGATCAAAACAGGGTCACTACTAGGTAGGTCACTGACAAATAGGAATCTCGCTACAGAGGCCAATCTACTTCTAGTGAAGCTAAAACAAGCCAATGCACATTAATTAATGAATTATTTATTGAAAATTTAGTTGTTTTTGGACGAAATAGGAAGTTGTTTTGTGTTCTGGGGCCTCATGCGTTGAATTCATACTAAAACATTGCGTACGGACAAAGCTGTAAATGTGCGTACGCACACAAAAAAAAACAGATGTATTATGAAGGATCCCACGCATATTCTCTTTGTACATCCAAATTAATGTAAAATTGAGTGCACACCACCCAGTCTCCTCCCTCAATTCAATTAATCTAAATATGTTAATTAGTCCAATTTGGCAAAAGAAACCTGCAAGAACATAGATAAAGCCAGCAAGAAACGAAATTTCACTGAAAATGTCTTCCATGTGAATACAGTGGTGTGAATAAGTTTTGGCCCCCATGCTAAAGTTGCCTAAAAAGAGGAATAAAAAATCATCTTTTGGATATTGATCTTAATGAGTTAATTATAAAAATGAGGAAAACTCCAACCTTTAAGGACACCAATTTTCTTTGTGAATGAATAATGTATCATAAATAAATAAATGTTTTTCCTTAAAATACAGGGTGCATAAGTCAGGGCACCCCTATGTTAAATTCCCATAGAGTCAGGCAGATTTTTATTTTTAAAAGCCAGATATTTCATGGATCCAGGATAATATGCATCCTGATAAAGTTCCCTTGGCCTTTGGGATTAAAATATCCCCACATCATCACACACCTTCCACCACACCTAGAGATCGGCATGGGGTACTTTCCATAAGATCATCTTTTAATGCAAATCAAACCAGCTATTAGGCTAACTGAAGTAAAACCATGCCAATCTCTAGGCGTGGTGGAAGGTGTGTGATGATGTGGGGATATTTTAATCCCAAAGGCCAAGGGAACTTTATCAGGATGCATATTATCCTGGATCCATGAAATATCTGGCTTTTAAAAATAAAAATCTGCCTGACTCTATGGGAATTTAACATAGGGGTGCCCTGACTTATGCACCCTGTATTTTAAGGAAAAACATTTATTTATTTATTATACATTATTCATTCACAAAGAAAATTTGTGTCCTTAAAGGTTGGAGTTTTCCTCATTTTTATAATTAAGGCATTAAGATCAATATCCAAAAGATGATTTTTTTATTCCTCTTTTTAGGCAACTTTAGCATGGGTGTCCAAACTTATTCACATCACTGTATATGTGAAAGAGTAATTTATTCCTGTGATCAAAGCTGAATTTTCAGCATCATTAGGCGACTCGTCTTCAGTGTCACATGATCCTTCACAAATCACTCTAATAGGATGATTTGATGCTCAAGAAACATTTCTGATTATTATCAGTGTTGAAAACAGCTGTGCTTCTGCTTCATATTTTCATGGAAACCGTGATATATAGCGTTTTCAGGATTCTTTAATGAATAAAAACTTAAATCAAACACATATAGAAATCTTATAATCTTTTGTAACATTATAAATGCATTTACTGGCACTTTTAAACAAATTCAATGTGTCCTTGCTGAATAAAAATATTACTTTCTTTTCTTATCTTTACTGATCGAATTAATGAAGTTTATTTTTTATTCCTAGTTATGCCAACGCTGCCATGGCTAGACAGGTTTGCACATACTTTATATATGTTCTTAACCCTTGTGCATCAATTAAAAAAAAAGTTACACATAGGTAAAAAGAGGACAAAAATGTCCATGTCAAAAAACTGTCATAAAAATGTGACGCTTTGGAGCACAGACTTAAGTTTGGTATCATTTTAAAGAAGACCCTTTGCAGATTATTGCTGAAGTAAAAAAATAATACTAAGTAAATCCAAAAAAAAGTTACATAGGTATAAGTTTATGAAAATTATTTATAAAAAAATATTTTATATAAAATATATATTTTATAAATCAGGTTGAACTCAAAACTGCAATAAAATCAAAGCCATGAATCTAAATAGGTTGTGTTCCAAATTTGAGGATGATATCTCAAAAAATGAGCTTTCGGTAACAGTTTGTTTGGGCGTAGTAACATATTTTCCCCATTGGGTGCCAGCAAAACCCCACTGGAGCTCACAGTGATTGGATTTGTTATTTGCAGTTTTTCTCTCTCAGTCTGACAAACACACACATGCGCAAACACACACACATATTTTTTTATAACACACATACTAACCACACTCTGACATCCATACCAACACACCCACACAAATATCGTTGCATAATTTATCCAGTTGGCTCTATAGTATGCCGAAGCAGAAAACGGGAATAAAGCGATATTTGTTTATAGGCCAAACTTAAAAAAAATGACACCATCTGATAAAAAATAGTAAAAAATAAAATTTTAAAGCCTTGCCATCAGAATGAAAGCCTCTTAACAAAGATTGCATAATTTTATAGTTAACTGAACCGGCGATTAAAAATGGCAGTTTTAATGGGTTTCAATGGGGACATTTTTGTCCAAAAGGGGCTGAGAGGGAGTATCTTTTGTACCTAATGCAAAAAAATATTTTTTTTAAGAAAATGACGGTGAAATAGTAAAATTCCAATAAAAATACACACCTGTGCCAAGTTTTTTTCCGTTAGCTTTAACACAGGCAAAGTGATCAAAAAAACAAAACTGAAAAGGACAAAAATGTCCATAAGGATGCACAAGGGTTAATTAAATGCATAATATAATATTTTAATAAGACTCATAATTGATACATTATTTGACATACAGGCTGGTGGTGCGAGAACAATTCGGCGGTATTAGTGTTATTCCTCAAGATTTATTGATAAGCTGTTTGATTTATTAAGATTATTTTCACATACCCTGCAGTGGATGAACATAGCTGTTCCTCAATTTGTGTTTTCCATTTGAACGGTCAGCGTATGAGGCGCTGCTGCTCGCGCTGGGACTATAACGTTAGGCTTACTTCAATTTTTAAGAAATTATTCTCTAATTGGTTGCATATAATGTCGTGAATATATCCCTGGAATGCATACTGTAGTCCCTTTTGTCTTGCTCTCTCAGATATTTCACTTGTTCGCCGAAAATTACTAATTATCTCATTGGGAATGTCTGACACCGGGTGCATCCACACTATAATAGATGGGCCAGCCGCGAAAGCTTGACAGGCGTAGCAACAGTAACTAGGGAGGGCGGGGCTTAGCGAAGGCTCAATTCATGAGCTCTTCCGAGTCGTGTCGGAGACTCGGAGTCTGATGTAAGCTCATTTTAGCGAGGTGCTCACCTTCAGGTCTCTGTGGATCAAGCCCTTGGAGTGAATGTAGTCCACGGCCGTCAGCACCTGTCCGCTGATCCGTGCCGCATCCGCTCTCCTCTCTGGGAAACGCTCCTTTGGAGAGTTCCTCTGATCAATCCAGGCTCGCAGCGTGTCTCCCTCACAGAGCTCCATCTGAATGTAGAGGAACTTTGTCCCCGGGTCACTGCTAGAACTAAAGCCAACATATGCATGGATTTTAAGCAGGACAAATGTGCGAAGTTTGGTTTTTAAAAAAGTCCAATAGACCCCTTTTGCGCCGACGTCACAGTTACGTCACGGCGCTAGCTGGAGGCAAAACAAAGTGAAAACTGCATGTTTCTCTTCTTTCCTCAATACTGTCTTGGATTGTAATTTCTCGTAGCTATTATATTTATAAATAGTTAAATTTAGCCCTTATATTTATTTATTTATTTTTTTTTATTTAGTCTCTTGTTCATTTATTTTAAACTATTTTAGGAAAATCTTGGATTGTTGTCTTTTTGGATGTCATATTATTGTTTGTATGTTTGTATAATGTCTAATAAAAAAAAAAAAATAAATAAAAAAAAAGTGAAAACTGCAGGCGGCCAATGCAAACCAGCACAGATTTGGCTACATAATAAGGAGCTTAAATAATTGTTATTATTATTAAATGTCATCTTGTTATGTTGTTTGGTGCAAGAATTGATGAAAAATGAATATGCTGTATCTGGAACTTTTATTTCTAGAAAATATTCACATCATTAAAATCGCACTGTAATGTCACTGTTTACACTGTCGTGGTCTCGGCGCTGGCTCGGCAGAACTGTGGATCGTACACACAAGTCTTGTACAGGACCATATAGGCATCTAAAGATTTATATGCCCTCAGTTTCTCTTTACGATCGGTTTCTCTGTAAGTGTAGAAGTCAGGCCACTCACCCGAGGTAACGTACGTTAATCCTGTCAGATCATCCATGAATCGAGTGAGAGTGTAGGCGGCTACAGGTCGCCAATCTGGTTCCGTCCGTTAAAAATAACTTTTGAAAATAACAATCGCGGTCCTGGACACTGAGTGACCTTACACATTAAGATAATATCGGATTTTCTCCAGTCATTTTAACAATCCTTGCTAACTAGCGTTAGTGAAGCGGCCAGATCGATCTTTCTGCCTCCACCTAAGCTCCGCCCACAAAAAAACGTCACCATGTTTACCACTGTAAAAGGGTCTATATATATACAAATATACAGTATAAAGATAGGGACTGCGTTACTATTGCTATTAGTCTGTGTCGAGGAGGCATGAGACACTTTCAGCCAGGCATAGGGTTGGAAATTGAAAAATTCTTGAGGTCAGGAATTGGATACTCTTTATAAAATTAAAACTAAATCGATTCCTCTGAGCATTTTAATATGATTTTAAACTAATCAAGCGCAAGACGACTCTACTACTACTGCTAGTCTACTACTATATTCCAGCCTCAGTCTCTATAACACTAATCAAACAAAAGACAAAGAGAAAAATTCACTCCATGTTTTTGACTGAATATCTTTTGTAACTATATTTGTAAGGTGTATTTTATTTATACAGTGCAGTTATTTTTCCATTTGATTAGGTTGTGTACCTGAACACCTGAAAACAGTCTGTATTCAGTTGTATTTATTTGCTGCAATTGATCATTTTTTTATTTGTTCTTTTTTAATTACTGAGCGTTTATAATGCATGAAATTTATATTAGTTAGGCTAGTAGTTTTCGCTATGGTATTTTTAAACCAAAGACAAACGTTCCTTGTGTAAGTGACCTGTTGATTTTTGTTCATGGTATTCAGCTACAATTAAATGTTTTGCAATAAGACTTCAAATTAATGTCAATGATATATAAGGGTTTTTTTTTTCAACCATATTGGAATCGAAAATAGGAATCAATAATAATGGGAATTGATGATAAGAATCGTTAAAATTCAAACGATCCCCAACTCTGGTCAGGCAGGTCGTTGTTTGTGTTAGAGCGAGTTGTGATTTGCTGAATTACTCTGAGATGGTCTCTGAAGACTCGTATCTGTACGTCGTGTCCTCTTCCCAAGCGGTGTAATAGCGGACGATGTTGGGGTTATTAAAATCAGACAAAGCTCCAACCTCACGAAGAGCTTTTCTGTGGAGGCACAGAAGATATCATGACATTATGTTATGTAGATTTAGTACAAAAACAAAAAGGTATTTAGCTAGAAAACCTTTTTTTTGAACATCATAGACATACAAGCCAATCAACTTACAGTACAAGTTGATTTCTGTTCATTTACTTACTCTCGACTCTTTACTATCTTCACAGCATAATATTTGTTCTCCAGCATTCGTCTTGCCTTGAAAACTCGTCCGAAGCCACCTTTGCCGATCGGATTTATTGAGTCAAAGTCTTCTAAAAACCTACAAAGATAAACATAACTATTTTCAAAAGCTAAACTGATGGACAAAAACATTTGTAATAAAATGCATAGTTAAAATGAAAACGATTAGGTTATGATTTGCCTTGATTTTATAGCTGGGTTTGAAGGTTGATCTCCAGATGACTTTGCCAGATTTTTTGCGTTCATTTTAGGAACAGTCTGGGAAAGTTATTGGAAGAGAAAAATATTAAAATAAATAAAAATTAAATAAAAGAAAACTAAAACAACTTTAAAAGTCATTTTCTTAGTTTGGAGATGCATTAAAACTGGATTCATAAACAGCAAGAAACATTTTTTTCAATAGAACTTTGAATTTCCATTTTTATTAGTCTCATTTTACAGACTTCTTATTTGCATTTACAGCCACAACTTTATGGAGGATAGTCATACTGTATAATAGAGCTGCACGATTCTGGATAAACTGACAATCACGTTTTTTTGTTGTTGTTTAATGTAGAGATTACGATTTTGAATAGACAACTAAACAAAATATTAAGTCATATCAAGACATTAAGTTTCCAGAGGTTCTGACAAATGTTGATTGCTGCAATATTTTTAAAAAAAAAAATAATTGATGAATAGTTCATTTAAAAAAATATATTGTTTTGAGTGAATGATTCAATGACTCACTCATAAAGACTTCACTTGTTTCATCACTGGATGAATATGCGGTTTTGAACAAATCTCGAGTGAATGATTCAATGACTCACTCATAAAGACTTCACTTGTTTCATCACTGGATGAATATGCGGTTTTGAACAAATCTCGAGTGAATGATTCAATGACTCACTCATAAAGACTTCACTTGTTTCAACACTGGATGAATATGCGGTTTTGAACAAATCTCGAGTGAATGATTCAATGACTCACTCATAAAGACTTCACTTGTTTCATCACTGGATGAATATGCGGTTTTGAACAAATCTCGAGTGAATGATTCAATGACTCACTCATAAAGACTTCACTTGTTTCAACACTGGTTGAATCTGCGGTTTTGAACAAATCTCGAGTGAATGATTCAATGACACTCATAAAGACTTCACTTGTTTTATCACTGGATGAACATGCGGTTTTGAACAAATCTTGAGTGAATGATTCAATGACTCACTCATAAAGACTTCACTTGTTTCAACACTGGATGAATATGCGGTTTTGAACAAATCTCGAGTGAATGATTCAATGACTCACTCATAAAGACTTCACTTGTTTCAACACTGGATGAATATGCGGTTTTGAACAAATCTCGAGTGAATGATTCAATGACTCACTCATAAAGACTTCACTTGTTTCATCACTGGATGAATATGCGGTTTTGAACAAATCTCGAGTGAATGATTCAATGACTCACTCATAAAGACTTCACTTGTTTCAACACTGGATGAATATGCGGTTTTGAACAAATCTCGAGTGAATGATTCAATGACTCACTCATAAAGACTTCACTTGTTTCATCACTGGATGAATATGCGGTTTTGAACAAATCTCGAGTGAATGATTCAATGACTCACTCATAAAGACTTCACTTGTTTCAACACTGGATGAATATGCGGTTTTGAACAAATCTCGAGTGAATGATTCAATGACTCACTCATAAAGACTTCACTTGTTTTATCACTGGATGAACATGCGGTTTTGAACAAATCTTGAGTGAATGATTCAATGACTCACTCATAAAGACTTCACTTGTTTCAACACTGGATGAATATGCGGTTTTGAACAAATCTCGAGTGAATGATTCAATGACTCACTCATAAAGACTTCACTTGTTTCAACACTGGATGAATATGCGGTTTTGAACAAATCTCGAGTGAATGATTCAATGACTCACTCAATAAAGACTTCACTTGTTTCAACACTGGATGAATATGCGGTTTTGAACAAATTTCGAGTGAATGATTCAATGACTCACTCATAAAGACTTCACTTGTTTCAACACTGGATGAATATGCGGTTTTGAACAAATCTCGAGTGAATGATTCAATGACTCACTCATAAAGACTTCACTTGTTTCAACACTGGATGAATATGCGGTTTTGAACAAATCTCGAGTGAATGATTCAATGACTCACTCATAAAGACTTCACTTGTTTCAACACTGGATGAATATGCGGTTTTGAACAAATCTCGAGTGAATGATTCAATGACTCACTCATAAAGACTTCACTTGTTTCAACACTGGATGAATATGCGGTTTTGAACAAATCTCGAGTGAATGATTCAATGACTCACTCAATAAAGACTTCACTTGTTTCAACACTGGATGAATATGCGGTTTTGAACAAATTTCGAGTGAATGATTCAATGACTCACTCATAAAGACTTCACTTGTTTCAACACTGGATGAATATGCGGTTTTGAACAAATCTCGAGTGAATGATTCAATGACTCACTCATAAAGACTTCACTTGTTTCATCACTGGATGAACATGCGGTTTTGAACAAATCTCGAGTGAATGATTCAATGACTCACTCATAAAGACTTGTTTCAATGAATCTGTGACTCAAGGACAAATGACTCTTTTACAGTCAAAATGTATTGATATTACATTAAAAGGTAATATTTTGATACCATAAGCTTCAGTATTTTGTAATTTTTTTTAATGATTAATCATGCAGCTCTATCATATAATGAAACAACCCGCACCTCACGTATGTTTTGCTTCCCTAAACACTCCACGCTTTTTCATGGTTACAGAAAACTTTCAATTGTTATTGTAAAATTATTAATGTTTGAATACCTCTTTACCCTTGGCCTGGCCGTTCGGTGACAGAAGAAAAGTTGGTGCTAATCTAAAAGAAAACGTGTATCTGATGAAGAAAAAATAATGTAAAATCTAAAATATGACATTCAACAACTGTAAACACTTACTTTATTTTCGGCTTCACATCCAGAGGGCTCACACACTGTAATACAGGTTGCATTTCATGAGTTCTTCATTTCATTTCATACATTATTGCTTGAAGTGCAAATGCTGCCAATAACACAGACTTACAGGACTTATGACCATAGGAGAACTGACAGCGGATGAGTCTTTGAAGACGATGGCATCACTGGCGCTGGGAGTTTCACACGAGGAGAGTCGTGCATCCTCAGATTTACTATAAAACACATGAACATTCAACTGCAGTGCATCATTCTATCATTACATATTATATGCATTTCATTCATTTAAACTTACGAACTCTCTTGGGTTTGTGAAGAGGTGTCATCTTCCGAACTCTGTTAATTAAAAACATGTTCATTAGTCAACGCTAACACAGACTACACATATATCTGAGTTACTGAAGGGTCCTGCCTGTGTGGTCCAGCCAGACTGATCTCGAAGTTCACTCCACGCGTGCTGAGCTGCATGTTGCTTCGCCTCTTTCGAGCTCTTTCCTTGTCCTTCAGGATATTCCTTCCCGTCTATGACAACTTTATACACAAACCTGAAGAAGCACATGTCAGTTTTACATCATTCTAAAAAAAAAATTGGGAAAATCTATCTATATATGAAGAGTTCAGATGCAAAAGCCTCTAAATGCCATTTGAAATTTTCTTCTTTAATGATGATTTTTATCAAACTTGTATATTTAAGTTCAGTGATTTCACTTAAATGGCAATGATAATTGCCTATTAATTGTTATTTAAGTGAAATTACTAAACTTAAATATACAAGTTTGATAAAAATCATCATTAAAGGAGAAAATTTCAAATGGCATTTAGAGGCTTTTGCATCTGAACTCTTCATATTTTCAACAGAAATCAGGTCATAATTGTGTATTAACACCCAAAGATGTTATTACATATTTTGAGTCAAAAACTACGTCTGTAAATTTTATGATTGATCTTATGATTTTATTAGGCAAAAAAAAGTACATTTAATAATTCTAAGCCTTGTCTAAAGTTTTTTTTTTTTTGGCTGATTTTATGTTATATATTGAGTCTCTTAAATGTATAGACAATAAGAAATGCACTGACACAATTGTATTTGCTTAAGAATTGAAAATAATTTAACAGTGAAGATTTATATGTTTCTTTTTTTTCTCTCCAATACTTCTCATAGCTATTATATTTACAAACAGTTAAATTTAGCCCCTTTATTTTAATTTTTTTTTTCTCTCTTCTATTTTTCTTTATATTTTAGTTTAGTCTCTTATTTATTTATGTTAATCTAACTTTGGAAAATCTTGGATTGTTGTCTATTTGGATGTCATGTTATTGTTTGTATGTTTGTCTAATGAAAAAAAAAATAATAATAAAAAAAACATGTCAGTTTTACGCTTGTACACATATGAAGTGTGGCGGGCTGTGCAAGACTTACTCTGGGTTGTGAGGAGGGCCTCTTTTCTCCACTAATTGGAAATCATGCACAAGTTTATTTTTCTGGCAGTAGTGATTGAGATATGCAATGTAGTTTTGGTCAGGCGTGGAGCTTCGGGAATCATCAGCAACACTCAAACTCAGGCGGTCCAGGCTAGCACTTAAATAAAGGATAAAATGTCAAAATAAACAGATCAGCACATGCAAAATGTAGTAAAAGAGCCTGTTAAATCAGTGGTTCCCAACTGGATGTTCAAGAACAAAAATGTCAATTAGAAAAAGCTCATCAAATTACATGGTTGTGTGATAAAACTACACAAGAAAATAAAAGAAAAAGCAGTGATAAATGGCCCTAGCACCCTGTTTAGGAAAACAGTAAACGTGGACAATATGCATTTTAATGGCTGAATATACTGTAGGAGGACTATCTCAAAGTCATTTATATTTGCCACAGTTCCTTCCAACGACTATACCTGAATATTGCCATGTATATGACTCTTATCAAACGTACTTGCTCTGGGCTTTGAACTTCTGTACAACTCATTAATGTCCGATTATGTTTATTCTCAATGTGCTGTGGTGGTCACATAGTTGACTAAATGCTACTTAAAATTAGTGCAAACAAAAAATCTGGACATTTTCAGAGACAGGAGAAGAGATAATCTGATGATTACAGTACTTGTGTGAAGAACTTTCCAAACTCAACGGGACATGACGTTTTTTGCATCACGGAACAAGCCGATCTGTTGCATTAGTGTAAAACATGTCAGTAGTCAGCTGGTGGCGCTATGACTATAACCAAATATTGGCATGTATATGTCTTCAGGCCAGGACTTTAAACAAGTTTAGGGCAGACTGGACATTGTATGCTTGAGTTCCACAACTAAGTCCTGTTTCATGGCGAAACATCGAACATTGTCAGATTCACAATATAGCATCGCAAACGCTAGATTAGATTAGACTAACCAAATATGAAGATGATCTTAATATCTAAAAAAAAAGTTCTAAATGTGTGACTTCCTTTGGGTTTTTTGCTCCAAAAAACTTTTTTTTTTGTAGGTATTAGGATGTTACATGTGCCTTTTTTTGTTTAATTACGGGTGAAATATGGTGCAAAAGCTCATTTATTTCAGTAATTCAACTTAAAAGGTGAAACTAATATATTATATAGACTCATTACATGCAAAGTGAGATATTTCAAGCCTTTATTTGTTATAATTTTGATGATTATGGATTACAGATATGAAAACCTTTTCACAATATTCTAATTTTGAATTTGGGGGTTTTCATAATCATCAAAATTATAACAAATAAAGGCTTGAAATATCTCACTTTGCATGTAATGAGTCTATATAATATATTAGTTTCACCTTTTACGTTGAATTACTTAACTTTTGCAAAATATTCAAATTTTTCGAGGTATACCTGTATTTTAGGTGGCGAAATGGAGCCATTTTTCTACTGAATTCTGAAATCGTACGTCAGTTTGCACCAACTCAACTCAGATGCACGTGCAAAGTTTCAAGAGTTATTAATCAAATTTAGGCCAATTAATTTCCACCCTAACAAGCTATCTAGACTGTGGCTTGCGTTGAACAAAATGTGAATTATTGGCTTAGTAGTAAACAAATAAATTTCAATATTTTTTAACTTCTTTTAAGATGAGCAATTGCAGATCTGCTGGGTCATTCGGATCTACTTGACGTCTGATGTAAAGTCTGTGTCCTGAAGAAAGACCAGTTGAGAAGCACTGACAATAGTCTGATATTATAATCGTTGTTCATTATTTACCTACAAGCTGCAACCTCTGACCCCTGTGCTTTATTGCTGTTCTCGTCAAAGACCTTAAATGTAAAATATAAGGTCAAACACAAATCATAAATTACAGATAATCCGAGTAGCCAGATGTTGTGTCACCTCACCTCTGCATTTTGTGTTTTGCACAACTCTTCATGAACACGCAAAGCTGCTGCTTCTTTGGCTTCCTTCTTAGTATTTCCATAAGCCTCCGGAAACTCTCTATCAGCGCAAACGAATTTACAGACATAAGTACACAATCTGCAAAAAACACAGGAGAGAAGTCTGGAATCAAGCTGTGTTTCTTTAAAAAAGCTGGAATTAATTTGGCAATGTGTGCAACTTTTCATTTAACAAGTAGGGATAGTTGTCACACACTTGTTTTAAATATTTCCACACATGCCAGCATGACAAAACTTGGTGTATTTACTAGTTGCCAATTTCAACACTATATAGAGAAGAAAATGCACCAAAATTCAGAAATCTTTGTGAGATATCACTAAACATTTATATAACCCTAGCAAAAGTACATTTCTTACTTAGGTTAATTTTTCATCTCTATTTTTTGTGTTTATTTAGACAAATATGATATTATTTTAATCTCCAATCTGTTGTTTAACAGTTGATATAGTTATTTAATGCTTCGCTAACTAGCAGAAGACACTAGCAGGGTTCAAACCCCAGTTGTGGAGGCGGGGCATGTTGTCACACTGCGTTACAATGTGCCCCTATTAGAAATATTATATTATATTCTATACTTTTATGAATTCTATTGAGAAAAACATGAGAAACATGTAAATAAAGACTAAGAGTCAATGTTCAGAAATTATTAATTATCATTTTGTTTTGAACTATGCTGTACAGCTGTGTTTTCCAGTGTGTTTGTTGTCAAACTCAGAATTAGTTTATTTTTAATTATTAAAAAAATGCCAAAATTGTATATGAAAAAGTTAATAATTGTATTTTATTAATAAAATATTTTGGTTTGACGTGTATATTTTGTTGATTAGATCAGATAGCATTTTAAGCTGTCATATGGTGATGTTACAATGAACCCCACCTATGGGGCATGTTGTCACATTTCACTTCCATTCTTTCGGGGTAAATCAAGAAAATAGTATACACTGTATTAATAAAACAAAACCACATAATTGTACTAGACATGTGAGAAATGAATGTGCGAAAAAATAAATTCTAATAAGTCCTAAGTAGATTTACATAAACTGAGAAAGTTGAAAAACGTTACGCTGTGCCCCGATCTCTTTTTTGACGAACACTGTGAATCAGAAGATCAATGAGCAAATGTATGTAACACTCACTGAGTAGAGTTTCCTGGATCCATCTTATTGGTCTCATGGGGCTTGAATAATAACCTGTTCTTCTGCGAATATTCATTGAGCCAACATGTGTAATTCCGCAAAGGTATATTCATGTTGTTGGACATGTTTTGAACAGATGATGTCGTCTGCAGTTGAACATGGATACATTACTTCTCAAAATCGACACTCTACATAATTATCACAATAACATTAATATAAAATTTTAAATATAAAACAGCAAATAAGACCATAGCTGCTCTAGTGCAAGACTGAATCAACTATTTCATGCTACATATATAACATTTTAATTATAGATTTAATGTTGTGAATGCTCTCCAATTTATTCCTGTGATCAAAGATGAATTTTCAGCATCATTACTCCAGTCTTCAGTGCTGCCACACAATATATAATCTATTATTATTTTACAGTTTTAGCTGCAATTTTTTTTACTGATAAAAAGACAGAAAAGATATTTATGCAATTAATAAATATTACCCCAAAAAAGCATTTACAATAAATGCTGTTCTTTTGAACTTTCTATTCATCAAAGAATCCAAAAAAATGTCTCAGTTTCCACAAAAATATAAAGCAGCACGACAGTATCATTATGAATAATAAATGTTTCTTGATCATCAGATCCTCATATTAGAGTGATTTGAGAAGACTGGAGTAATGATGCTGAAAATTCAGCTTTGATCACGGGAATAAATTACACTTTACTATATATTCACATAGAAAAGAGTAATTTAAAATTGTAAAAATATTTTACATTTTTACTGTATTTTGGATTAAATAAATGCAGCCTTTGTGAGATAAAGAGACTACTTTTAAAATCATTAAAAAAAAATTATGTTTCCAAACTTTTGAGTGAAAGAAAACAGAAATCATACTGTTGAAGCTGACAGTTTGTACTTGTACAGCTAAAAATCAGATCTATGGAAAGTGCACATTACATAAACCCTAACGTGTGTGTGTGTGTGTGTGTTACTATAACATCTACGTACAGACTCATTATTGGGAGAGCTCCTGAGGCCATCAAGGGCGTTCTTGGCAGCACTTTGCTTTGCCTCCTTCTTAGATTTCCCAGTGCCATGAGGAAACCGCTGACCATTTACAATAGCCCTCATTGTGAATCTGATAAAACATTAGATCACAAAACAGTTAAAGTTGTGAGTTACAATAATGTTAGTCATTGACTTTGTATCATTTGCACGAACAGCACAGAAACCGTTCCCCATCAGACTTCACTCAGTAGCTATAAGTTATGGATGAATGAATGATATTTGCATACGTTTTGTTGTGGCTCGGTCCCTCGGTGGATTCCTCCTCATATTTGACGGTGTATTGAGTCTTCTGCTGGTACTCATTCAGCAGAGAAATATAATTTCTTGACGGAGACTCCATATCGCACAGTTAAAAATAACTACAAGCAGAAAGCGACAGAACTTCACTGAATGTTTACCTCAGCTCGTGAATGTCATATCTTGTCATACTGGAAACACTCGTTACCGTGATCTCATATCAGGTTTACACGGTACTAATAATGTCAGTTCACACTGACATGCTTCACAGCTCACAATGACACTTTCATTTCTACTATTATTCAGTTCGATAGGTTTCGATTTCCGGTTGTCAACGTCATCGCTAAACAGTGGATTGACCAATCGAAAGCCACGCCTGTTGATAGGCCACACCTACCTGAAAAAGTACACTCTTTTAAAGTACAATTATATAAATTTATATTACGTAGATAGAGAATAAATCACCAGGCATAGTAATTAAAATACGTGTTGAAGCATGTTACAATATATTTTATAATAAGAATTGTTTCTTGTTTTACATTGGGTTTTATAAAATATTATTATAAAATGTTTGAAATTTGATATGTAACAGAAAAAGACAAATTAATACGTTATTCTTTAAATTCAAAAAAAAAAAAAAAATCGAAAAACTTTTATTATGTTATATTATTTTAGTCTAAGCCCAGCATAACTCTTCACAGTCCATTCCATAATGCACTGAGCATAGGAAAGTAATTAAATGAATAAATATTGAGCACAAATGTTTGTGATTGGTTGAGTTTCAGTTACGCAGGACAAAAAAAGGACAAAGTGGACACACAATTATAATCAAAATATCATTGCAACATTTAATAAATGAGAAGTAAACATAAATATTAAACACAGCTATGCAAATAAAACTCGATCGTTGCTCTAGTCGTCATGATCCGCAGCCGTGTCACCGGGACAATTTGACCTCAAATCCTCCTCATCTGTTGGGCGAGAACATTTCAGTGTTTTATTCACAATTCATGTTTCAGATCAATCAGACATTATACGTGAACACTTCTCACCGTTATACGCCGTCCCACACCATATGCAGTAATAATGGACTCCTCGCAGATACGAGGTGAGAAACTGCAGCTTGTCTAAAGGCTGTCAAAGGAAGAACAAAAGCATGATGGGTGTTTCAAAACATTAACATTTCGTGTCAAATTTCTTTTTGTGTGTCAAATTTCTACAAAGTGAGAACTACAAATACATCAAAGTTTTCATCTCATCTAAATCTATTACATAGTAATTAATAATAGTAATAATAATTCATTAAATATTAGCTAGTTTAAAAATAATTATGTTTATATAAATACATACACACAGTTGCAACTCAAAAAATGTGAATATCGGGCAAAATGTATAATTTTGATGATGAAAACCCCAAAGTTAAAATCTCAGAATATTACATGAAATCAATAAAAAAAGTATTTTAAATACACAAATGTCAGCCCTCTGAAAAGTATAATCATGCATATGTATATAGTTATACGTATATACTAAATTTATTAGTTTCACCTTTTAATTTGAATGACTGAAATGCATGAACTTTTGCACGTTATTCAAATTTTTCGAGTTTCACCTGTACACACACACACACACTCTTTCATAAAGCTCAAACATTCAAGCCTGTTATCAAATTTATTGTAAGACACATTATAAAGCATTTCCCCCTTAAACTATCATATTAGCAATGCGAGTGCCATAAACACCGGTTTGAGGTGCAACTCACGGTAAGTTCCTCCTCCTCCTCCTCCTCATCATCACTTCCCTCAGGTTTAGTTTCCTCTTCCTCTTCCTCCTCGTCTTTCGCTACTTCAGGCCAGTACCAGCTGTCTCTGGGAGCCGTGATGCCCTGAAAGAACAACAGCAGACGAGTCAATCACGAGCCAGAACTTCCATTCATGCGAATATTTTCAAACTCACATTCAACCCTCAAGATGTTCACGCACACATGCAGTTGTGTCTCTACATCATCATTTTGTGTCATCTACTATGTAATTGCTAAACTAATGTACTGTATTTATTTGTGCCCTAAGCGGTTATTCCACTTGTCAGGCCACCATTGGAAGTAAGAACTTGTTCTTAATGAATTGCCTGTAAAAATAAAGGTAATTAAAAAAGCTGAAGTGTTTATCTGAATGACCTTCTGGCTGTCCAGCTGTTCACAGGCGCGTTGGCTCTTCCACAAGTCGCTCTGAGTCTGACGCTCCTCTCTCTCGGTTCTCATACGCACTCTGTAATAAAGATGAACAATACTCACTGCTATTCAAAGAGTAAAGCCTGACAAATATATTGTATTGAACACTTTAAAAAAAAAAAAAATCTAAAAAAAGTTTGCATATATGCTTTTCTTTTAGACATCAGACTTTTATGCTAATATAGTCTGATATAGTGAGAATATGGATGAAAACACTCAAACTGAAACAAAAATATGTAATTTGGTGCAGATGCTGATGTTTATATGGACCAAAAGTAAAAATAAATTCTTATGCTTGTAATTTAAATCAATTAAATCTTCCACTGACATAAAATCCATATAAATATCCATATAAAAACTAGTCCCAGATAAAAGCACATGTTTGAGCTGATATAACTTAAAGCAACTCTATATCATAACACTTTACAATAAGGTTAATTAGTTAATGTATTTACTAACATGAACTAACAATGATCATTACATTTGTTACAGTATTTATTAATCTTTGTTACTATCAATCAGCTTTTCATTGTTTGTTCATGTTAGTTCACAGTGCATTAACTGTTAACAAACACAACCTTTGATTTTAATTACGTATTAGTAAATGTTGAAATTAATATTAACTAAAATTAATAAATGCTGTAGAAGTATTGTTCATTCTTAGTTCATGTTAACTAATATACCTTTTTGTAAACTGTTAAAAAATATCAGTGCCATTGTTTTGTCTAAAGATTCACACCATTAATGTTTTATATTTCTAAGGCACGTTTATAAAAGCTACTTGGCCTAATCGTTGCTTAATCTAAACCCTGTCTGTGAAACATGGCCACTATATCTTAATAAGATTATATTTAAATGCTTAGTTTTATAATCAAATCTTTGTATTTTTAAAACACAACGCAATCCAATACAGTGATGATTGAAAAGCCTGATGATCATATTTGACGCTCATGATTTTTCTAAAAATGATCAAGTAAACTGAAGCTGCTTCAGTCAAGTAAGTGAAATATTACCAAACAATTGCATTTACTTAATAAAATCAGTAAAAATTCCCTGACAAAAAGATTTGATATCATCAGCAGGTTTAGACCTAAAATCCTCCAGTGATTTCTTTTCCACGTGTTGTTTCATTTGCACTTTTCTCCGGTAATTCTGAAGTTCCTCGTCTGCTTTCCTCTTCTTGAGTTCTTCCATTCCTATGCCGCCTCTGTCTGGAAACAGTGTGCAAACATCAGGGTTTCTGAACCATGTCTAAATGCATAACCAACAATAAAAAAGCAGAAAACACCCATCTACCTGTTTTGATGTTGAGAGGAACCGGCTCAACCCGTCCAGCACCTGCAGCACCAGAACACATTGTATATAACTATATAACGTGTTGGGTCATTTTATTCAAGTCCAAAAAATCAATCACTGACCTTGTTTTCCCAGGCCTTGTCCTTCTTTATATCCCATCTTCTGCAGTAACGCAAAGCCTTTATTTTGGCTGCTTATGGAGCTCTGCAGCGCGGCCTCACGACTCTCTCGCTCCTGCTCTCGGAAGCTCTTCTGCCGGTTCTGTGTGTTCTTCTCTTTCTGCACTGCCTCCTTTCTCAAGGCGTCCTTCATCCGCTTCACCATCGGCACGCCAGGCCGAACATCTGAGCTGAACATGTGCAAGAGCATCAAAACAACATGTATGACACAATGAGGAGCTATTTGTGATGTTTAGGGTGTCAGTGGGCTGGAGGACGTGGGAATAATAATTTTTTTCTGAACAAACTTTTGTATTTATTTTCTGTATTAGCATATTTCACTGGTGTATTATGGGGTTTACACTGATTTCGTTTTTAAAACGTACTCTATTCTTCATAGAATACGTCAAATAGCCTAAAAAACAGCCTAAGTTGGCCTTTTTTTTGCCCGGGGAGAGATCATCATCATCTAATAACAACTGAACACCAGCTTTTACCATGTATTACCATGTTTTTGTTTTAAATAACAACGCTTCGCCATCATTCGTGGCTGTTTTACGTGTTTACACAGCACATTTTCATGGAATAATGATCTAAGAAACATTACAATAAAACTGTTGATTACGCGTGAATACTAACAAACGTTACTCCGTGTTTGTTTACATGTAGCACGCCTTAGCAAACATCAACCTCTCTGACAGGAACCGAAAATCATTTCAAAAACACGTTTTAAACTCACATTTTGCTCAGGAAAGCGTCGGACATGTAATCATCTTCACCATCAGCCATTTGTGCGATTAATCAGCGATTGAAAGCTAATTATAACTTAAATAGAAATTAAATTCCGATTCCGTGGAACCCTGATGTTGTTTCGTACAGTAAATGAGTCCGACTGGAACGCAGCAGAAAGTGTATTAGGTTCCTATTTACACTGAGATCACCGGGGAAAAAAACATTTACCAATATTTTTGTATAAATGTATTTTTATTTTAAAGACATACATCAAGAAAATAAAGCAGGTTGGGATTTATTCACCGTTATGTAGACAGGAGTACTCTAAATGTGGAATCCAATAATATTAGTCAGTTATATTTTTGCATTTTCTCTAAATTAAATGAGACCTATTTTTCTCGGGTTGTTAGCCATTGGTTTTGACAGCCTGCATTGTAATTTCATTCGTCTTATATCTATATCCAACATTGGTTTGAACATAGCCTACACAAATAATATTTATTTCATAACCCGGAGTGGATCCGGTGCTCTTGTAATCGTGTGTTTACAATGCAACATACTGAAGAAGAGACGCCGTCTTTGTTTGAATAAATATAACTTTATTTTCAAGAAAAACATCTATTGTACATGTTCACAAATTAGGTTTTTTTTTTATCCTAGTGATTGTATAACAATACATTTGATTAAAGGTTTTGTAAACTTCCACAACAATTGAAATAATATCTAATATATTTCTGATTCTGTAATATTGCAGAGATTGTCCTCAAGCAGCAGTGTTTATTCTTCAGGAACAATATTAAATAAACATGGCACAATAAGAAATTCCTATAAGAAAATTTAGTAACAGACATTTCCCACATTCGTCTACTTCATGAAAACTGCAATAAATATGATGAATTTCAGAAGTGCGTCAGAACTATAGATATAGAAGTATTGATCTCTAAATCTGTAATCTTGCAGATGTGACTCATGCTTGCTTTATTATACTGAAATATGAAACAATAGCAGTTGTCAAAGAGTTTTGTTGAATAAAACCCACAGAAGCTTTTACATTCACAGTTGGTAATACAACAGACACATATAAAACAATTCATATTACATCATTTTATAATGTGTGACCAAGGCAGAACAGCCAAACGATTACAACAAACTGACCAGAACAAAACTGCAGAACGCCTCAAATGGCACAACATTTCATGATAAATAAAGGGGAAAAAAAACTTGTGCAAATAATGTTAAATGCGGTGAGGAAAATCAAAGTGTTCATTCAAAATATAGATAAAGTGATAAAACGACACAAACGAGAGCAGAGACATCAGATCCTCGCTCGCTTTTACACTGGAAAAATAACTACCGACAATTTGAGACACACACACTCTCTCTCTCTTTCTCACACACACACACTTACACAGACACACACACTCGCAGACACAAACACACACACACTTACACAGACTCACAGACACCCACTCACTCTCTCTCACACACACAAACACACACACTTACAGACTCGCAGACACAAACACACTCACACAGACACAAACACACTCACACACATGCCCTCACACACACACACACACACACACACACACACACACACAAACTTACAGACTCGCAGACACAAACACACTCACACAGACACAAACACACTCTCACACACATGCCCTCACACACACACACACACACACACACACAAACACACACACTTACAGACTCGCAGACACAAACACACTCACACACACACATGCCCTCACACATACACACAAACACACACACACTTACAGACTCGCAGACACAAACACACTCACACAGACACAAACACACACACACACACACACTTACACTCACACAGACACACACACACACACACACACACACACACACACACACACACACACACACACAGACACAAACACACCCTCTCTCACACTTACAGACACAGTCACACACTTACATTGACTCAGAGACAAACACACACACACACACTTACACAGACACAAACACACTCACACACACACTCGCTCTCTTTCTCACTCGTTCTCACACACAAACACACACACTTACAGACTTGCAGACACAAACACACTCACACACTCTCTCACACACGCAGACTCACAGACACAAACACACTCACACACACATGCCCTCTCTCTCACACACACACACACACACACACACACACACACACACACACACACACACAAACAAACACACCCTCTCTCACACTTACAGACACACACTCACACACTCTCTCACACACGCAGACTCACAGACACAAACACACTCACACACACATGCCCTCTCTCTCACACACACACACACACACACACACACACACACACACACACACACACACACACACACAAACAAACACACCCTCTCTCACACTTACAGACACACACTCACACACTCTCTCACACACGCAGACTCACAGACACAAACACACTCACACACACACACACATGCCCTCTCACACACACACACACCCTCTCTCACACTTACACTGTCTCAGAGACACAAACACACACACTTACACAGACACAAACACACTCACACACACTCTCTCTCTCTTTCTCACTCATTCTCACACACAAACACACACACTTACACAGACACAAACACACTCACACAGACACACACACACACACACACACACATGCCCTCTCACACACACACACACACTTACATTGACTCAGAGACACAAACACACAAACGCACACACACAATTACACAGACACAAACACACTCTCTCTCTCTCACACACACTCTCACACACTTGCATTGACTCACAGACACAAACACAATCACACACACTTACACAGACTCACAGACACACACACACCCTCTCTCTCTCTCTCTCTCTCTCTCTCTCTCACACACACACACACACACACACACTCAAACGTCAGGTTTCAGTCTCTTTATGTAGACTATAGACAGTGTTGTATTCTCTGTACAGACTGCAGTATTCTCTGAAACATCTGGCCGTCCTCATAGCCTGCACACACACACACACACACCTACAGCTCGTCACTCTCCTGTGTGGGGGCCGCCCGGGGGCCGCCGTCACTCGTGGGAAAAGCAGACTTTACATCCAGGCCGTGTGCGGTGAGAGCGGCGTAGCGACTGGAGCTGATCTGCGTTCTCTTCAGGGGAGGATGGACCGGCTGGTGCCACTGAGCTGGACGACAACACGAACACGAGCGTTATCTGGAGTCACACACACACACAACAACATCTTGTAGCCCTCAATCGGGTCATGGGGTCTATACGACCCCAATCGACTTTTATTTAATTAAAAAAAAAGGTTAATCTCAATGGAATATGATTTTGTGACTTTTCATACATCTATACACACACAAAAAACTGGGCTTGATTCGGTTGTTCTGAAGGTATGTAAAAAAAAAAAATGTTTACACTTCTGGTCTTCGCGGTCAGTATGACCCCACATTGAAATGAATGGGAAATGTGAAAAAAACTAAATATACGTGTCAAAAAAAAAATCCAGCATAAATCTGAAATTTTTTTACACAGAAATGAAGGCCTAGTACTAGAGCATAAATGCAATGTATCATAAAAAATAATATTTAATATGCAAGCTAATGGTGTAGTTGAGGAATTGTGTGGTATATGGATACAAAAGTACTTTATATCTCCAAAAACACAGCATTAATGCATAGATGAGAAGTAAACAAAATGTATTAAAAATGTATTTTTTTGTACAATTACTCAATCAATTGTTGGGGTCGTAAAGACCCCGAAGCCCAGAAGTGTAAACAGGAAACGGAGACCATTTGAAGGTTAAAGTTTATAAGAGAAAGTGTTTGTATTTTTGGTGCTTTAACTGGGCACCGTTTCTTTTAGGATTTTAATTTTAATTTCCCCTTTATTAATCAACTTTTTGCAGTTCACTTCAATAGTCCTGTAGTGAAAAATATATGAAAATACAAACATTGAATGTTGTGTCTCAATCAATATACGGTTATTAAAAAGCATGCATTATGATTATTAGAACATTTTTTTTTTAAATTACTAGAAGTTAAATGTAAATGTAGTTTAAATTATAAGTATTATAAGTATTATGTAGTTTATAATTATAATTATAAGTATTAATAAAACGGTTAAATGTTCCATTAAAATCATTTCTTAGAATAATTAGGAAAAAATATGTTTAAAATATTTATTAATAAGCTGTTTAATTTCTTAGAATAATTTCTTTAATTTGATTTTTAAATAGTTTTTGATTCAGTATTAATTTATTTTAATTTGTTAGAATAATTTCTTTAATTTGAATTTTTTTAAATAGTTTTCAATTCAGTATATATTTATTAGAATAATATCTTTAATTAGAAAAATTGTTTAAAATATTTTTAGATTGAGTAATTATATATTTTAATTTATTACTTTAATAAATTACTTTAATTTGAATTTTTTTTAATAGTTTTCGATTGAGTTTTATTTTACTAGAATAATTTCTTTAATTAGAAAAATAGTTTAAAATAGTTTTAGATGTAGTAATAATATAGTTTAACTTATAATAATAATTTCTTAAATTAATTAAAAAAGTTAGGATTAAAATAGTTTAATTTAATTTTTTTTATATTATAATAATTTCTTAAAATAATCCGAAAAGTTAGTTTTAGATTATTATATATTATTCATCTTTTCATTAATTTATTTCTCATATAAGGTCCTGTACACTGCTTTACATCATTGCAGGAGAATGTTAAAGTTGTATCTTGAATACTCTACAGCTTTACTATTTTTTTTTAACTTCACAAATTTACAGAACCGACACATAAAAAAACACACTCACCATAAATGTCTAGTCTGGCTGTGCACGATACGATCCCGGCCTCGTTCTTTGCAGACACCGTATACCAGCCAGCATCTTCTTTTCTGGTCGGTTGAATTAGTAGACATACGTAACCTGTAGTGTCCTGATGCATGCTGGGATAGCAAAACAAGTCAAAATATGCTTTTTTTTAATTCATTTACTGTATTATCTACTGCATTTAAAGGGGTTAGTTCACCCCAAAAATAAAACTTATGTCATTATTGTGACATCAGTGGGTTAGTTACAATGTTTTGAAGCATCGAAAATACATTTTGGTCCAAAAATAACAAAAACTACGACTTTATTCAGCATTGTATTGTGTTCTGGTTCTGTTGTGGATCCACGTTCAGTGCCACTGCTTGGACCGACATGAGGAAGAGTCATTAATGAAACCATTTTTTAACCATCTAACCCTTTAAGGACTCACAAACATCCCCTCCCAGTGAACTCACCTGACCCTGTCCTTGGAGTGAGGGATCGTATCATTGTCTTTCTTCCAGTAAATGAGTGGCTGTGGCATTCCCACAACTCTGCACTCGAGGCGCACCGGAGCTCCTTCAGCGACGCCCGTGTTCTGCAGCTTCTCCACGAAATACGGAGCCTGCTTTAGCTCTTTCTCTGCACAGGTTTATTCAACAGGGGAGGAGAGGAGCAAATATTTTATGCACGTTATATTGGATAGCTAATTTACTGCGTTTGAGCGCAAGCATGTTCTAACTTGTTTTACATGCATCTAAACTCAATCTGAACGACAATGAGGAGGACATCGTGTAAAAACTATAGTCTTACAAGTCAGCTGTTTCGCTGATAGACACCACTGGTCATTTCTGATGCACTTTATGGAAGACCAATTCTACTTCATAAGAAACAAATCCTGCTTTGGTAAATCATAATGATGAGATTGAAACGTTTAAATTATGAAATTATTGTAATTATGAATTTAAAGAGTTGAAAATGAGAGGAAAAGTCAAAATTATGACCAAAACTCATGAGAATTATTTTGAATTATGACATACAAACAGATAAAAAGTCAGTATTATAATTTCAGCTGCCATAACTCTGACTTTTTATGTCATATTTATTGAGTCACTATGTCATAAATCTGACTTTTTATCTAATTTTTATTGAGTTAGTATGTCATAAATTTGATTTATGGCATATTTATTGAGTTAGTATGTTATAATTCTGATTTATGGCATATTTATTGAGTCAATATGTCATAAATCTAACTTTTTATGTAATTTTTATTGAGTTAGTATGTCATAATTTTGACTTATGGCATATTTATTGAGTTAGTATGTAATAATTCTGATTTATGGCATATTTATTGAGTCAATATGTGATAAATCTAACTTTTTATCTAATTTTTATTGAGTTAGTATGTCATAATTTTGACTTATGGCATATTTATTGAGTCACTATGTCATAATTCTGACTTTTTATGGCATATTTATTAAGTTAGTATGTCATAATTCTGACTTTTTATGTCATATTTATTGAGTCACTATGTCATAAATCTGACTTTTTATCTAATTTTTATTGAGTTAGTATGTCATAATTTTGATTTATGGCATATTTATTGAGTTAGTATGTAATAATTCTGATTTATGGCATATTTATTGAGTCAATATGTGATAAATCTAACTTTTTATCTAATTTTTATTGAGTTAGTATGTCATAATTTTGACTTATGGCATATTTATTGAGTTAGTACGTCATAATTCTGATTTATGTCATATTTATTGAGTCAATATGTCATAAATCTGACTTTTAATCTAATTTTTAGTGAGTTAGTATGTCATGATTTTGACTTATGGCATATTTATTGAGTTAGTATGTCATAATTCTGATTTATGGCATATTTATTGAGTCACTATGTCATACATCTGACTTATCATCAAATTTTTATTGAGTTAGTATGTCATAATTCTAATTTATGGCATATTTATTGAGTCAGTATGTCATAACTCTAATTTATGGCATATTTATTGAGTTAGTATGTCATAATTCGAACTTATGGCATATTTATTGAGTTTGTATGTCATAATTCTGACTTTTTATGTCATATTTATTGAGTCACTATGTCATAAATCTGCCTTATCGTCAAATTTGTATTGAGTTAGTATGTCATAATTATGACTTATGGCATATTTATTGAGTTAGTATGTCATGATTTATGGCATACTTATTGAGTATGTATTTTTTTTTTTTTTTCCTTTTGTTTTTTTCTCTTTCTTTTTTTTTTTCTTAAAGAACTGTTTATCTTTTATTGTTTTTAACCTGTAGCACTTTGAGATCCTTGGATGAAAAGTGCGTTATAAATTAAACGTATTATTATTATTATTATTACATAATTCTGACTTTTAATCTAAATTTTGACTCTCATAATTGACTTAGTATGTCATATTCAGGCTGCCATAATTCTAAGTCAATTATGAAAGTAACTCAATAAATATGAGATAAAAAGTAAGAATTATGGCAGCAAAAATGATGACAGAGTCAAAATTTAGATAAAAAGTCATTATGACAGTCGAGATTATGACATCATAAATCAATTATGAGAGTCAGAATTGAGTGTCAATTATGACTCATTATGAGTTGAAAAGTCATTAGGACAGTTGAAATTATGACATCATTGTGAAGTATGCGATAGTCAAAATTGACAAAAAGTTACACGCACGATAAAAAGTAATTGACAACTAAATCAAAAGTAAAAAAAATATGAGGTCAAAACGGAAAGAAAATTTACGTGATAATTATGTCAATTTCAACTTTTTATCTCAATGTTGACTGTCATAATGATTTTTTTTATCTCATAATTGACATTTTTTGTCACAATCGTGACTTATCTCATAATGTTAATCACAATTATGATTTCCCAAAGGATGCCGACTTGTCTTAAATAGCAGTGTGAAGTGTGTGTCTCACCCACGACTCTGAGCTGGAGGCAGAAGGAACTCTGTCCCGCTTTATTTGAGGCGATGCAGGTGTACGTCCCGTCGTCAGCTTGAGTCAGAGGATCCACAACCAGAGAATGGATGCCGTTTTCTCGCACCAGCATTCGATGAGTTATGTCGGGATATATGGGCTTCCCGTTGAGAAGCCACATGATCTCCGGATGAGGTAATCCGCTCACCTACACCACACAGAACGGGTCTAATTATTTTAGAATTACGAGATATTTTTTTCATGGAAAAAAGTACGTTTTTGCTCTGTTTTTCTGAATTAACGAATTAATTATTTTAGGATTACGAGATCATTTTTCATGAAAAAAAAGTTTTTGCTCTGTTTTAATGACTTGACTATCTCAAAAATTATGAGAAACTGATTAATTCATAAAAACAGAGTGAAAAAATGTTTTCCATGAAAAATATTCTTATATTTCTGAGATAATTAACTCATTAATTCAGAAAAACAGAGGAGATTTTGTTTCCTCAAGTGAACGCAATATGTTTCCATACCTTTCAGACCAAAATTGAAACTACATTTTTTAAAATTTCTGATAACACAAGAATAGGATGCAGGAGAAGAAAGTTTAACATTACCAATAAATACAAAAAATCTAAAGTCATTTTTGCTTATGGTTCACAGTACAGTACATTGGTCAATAAAATGAGATTATTAAATGCATAAAGTATTTGTTATATTTCATTATTCAAGGTTTGCGTATTATTCTGATGTTGCATTTTACAGTTTTCATTCATTTTGAGGAATACTAAATCTTTTGTGCAAGCGAGATGAGTAAATGCATGCTCACATTTAGTCTAGAACGGGTCACACAACTCAATTACAATAAGTCAAAACATGCAACGTCAAGCTTTCAGCAATATGTTATTTTTTATTGTATTGGATACAAGCAGAGGCCCCAAAAAGTGTTCGAGTCTCAGTGATAAGAGTCAATCTTGAAGCATTTAAAAATGGTTTAAATGTACAACAGTAGAAAAGACACAGCAAAAAGAAGTGCACTTAATCCTATTGAATGCACACTTGTACTTTTTATTTTATTTATACGTTTATTTGTATAGGTAAAAAAAAGTGTACTTGCAGGTAATATAATATTAATTAAATAAAAGACCACTTAAATGTATTTAAAGAGAGTTCACTTTCATGACTATGTTTCTCTACACAGTTTAGTAAAAAGTGTAATAATGAAAAATTTGATTGTAAATAATTGTTTTAAAAATCTTTTGTTGTACTTTAAAGAAGTACACTTATTTTGATGTAGTGAAGTACTTAATTATAATTTAACTAGTGTTTCATTCAATGTAACATTTAAAATTTAATGTACCAAATTGAAAAGTTCATAATTCCACATATTTAATTACTAATATATTTAGATACATGACAGGAATTATATATAGTTTATCAGAATTAATTAATATATTTATTTTTAACTAAAAAAAAAAATATATATATATATATATATATACAAAATACACATATATACAAAATGTACAAATATATATATATATACACAGTATATAGTATATATAAAAATACACACAGTATATATTTAATAATATTTATTTAATTGCTATTTTTCCATAAATGCTTGTAGGGATATTCGGCGGTAATCTTTGACCATATTTCAATTTGCATATGAAGATATACTTAATACTGATTCAATTAAGTCTTCAGTTGAAATAACTGCATTTAATATAAATTTAAACTATTCATACATTTTAATTTAATTGCAATTAAGTGTCTAAAAACCATTCAGTTTAAGTGTACATTTACATAAAGTGTATCATCTCCGCATTAAGTAAATCTTAACACATAAAAAATAAAAATAAATAATTTCCTTTTCCTTTAAATCCTTGCTTATCTGGCTTCTGCTACTCTGAGCAATGCCTGAACTCTGTATTTTGAGCACTTCTTGCGTTGTTTTTGCCTCTTCATGATGACTTGCTTGGTTTATTCCTCAGTTGTAAGTTGCTTTGAATAAAAGCGTCTGCTAAATGACTAAATGTAAGTAAATGATAAATGAAGACCCTCAGTCCTGGGTAGTGCAGTGTGTAGTTTCTCTTCTAGGACACTGAATGCAGAGATATTCAGGCGTGTTGAGTGCTCAGATGTGTTTTGTGTTCACATGTGACGGTACCTTGCAGTCCAGCCGACAGAGCCGGCCCTCGTGGGCCAACATGTCCCCTGGAGCCTGCAGAAAGTGTGGACGAAAGAAGCGTTCTTGAGCCGGTTCTCCCTCCACTTCTTGTACGCGCGCTCGGACTCTGTGGAAAATGATGAGTGATGATGACAGAAATATTATGCATACAAGCAGTGCTGGGGAAAGTTACTTAGAAATTAATGCATTACAATAGAGCAATACAGGGAGAATTGCATTAGTTACTTTTTAAGAAAAGTAAAGCATCATTCACGTAACTTTGGCTCACTTGGGCGTGGGCTTGTTTTATTTTTTATATATATAAAAAAAAAATCTATTTTTGGGCACATTTAAAGTCCCTAACTACGGAAACGTCTTGCATTCACTTGAGGAAACAAAATCTACTCTGTTTTTCTGATTTAAAAAGAGTTAATTATCTCAGAATTACGAGATCTATTTTTCATGGAAAAAAAGTACGTTTTTGCTCTGTTTTTCTGAATTAACGAGTTAATTATCTCAGAATTACGAGATCATTTTTCATGAAAAAAAGGTGTGCGCTTTTTTTCTGAATTAACAAGTTAATTATATTAATGAATTAATTATCTTATAATTACGAGATTTTTGCTCTGTTTTAATGACTTGACTATCTCAAAAATTATGAGTAACTAATTCATTCATAAAAACAGAGTGAAAAAATGTTTTCCATGAAAAATATTCTTATAATTCTGAGATAATTAACTCATTAATTCAGAAAATACGCAATATGTTTCCATACCTTTCAGACCAAAATTGAAACTATTTTTTTTTTAATTTCTGATAACACAAGAATAGGATGCAGGAGAAGAAAGTAAATCATTACCAATAAATACAAAAAAATCGAAAGTCATTTTTGCTTATGGTTTACATTGGTCAATAAAATGAGATTATTAAATGCATAAAGTATTTGTTATATTTAATTATTCAAGGTTTGCGTATTATTTTGATTTTGCATTTTACAGTTTTCATTCATTTTGAGGAATACTAAATCTTGTGTAAATGCATGCTCACATTTAGTCTAGAACGACAATAACCATCATGATCTCACACACGTCAACATGAGGACAGGAGAGCTGTCACTCAATAAATGTGAAAAAGTATCTCAGATATTTTGTTGTAAATTTTAAACTAATACGTTACTAGTTGCTTGAAAAAAGTAATCCGATTACGTAACTCGAGCTACTTGTAATGAGTTACACACAACACTGAATACAAGTCTATTAAACGTCAGCCATGACGTTTGATGCGACTCACCTCTGAGCGTGAACCATGGGCCGGTTTCGCACGGGACCCGTTTGGACAATCAAATGACCAGAGCAGCTTATTCTACCCTGTGGACATAATAAGAGGCTTGGCTTTTATTTCAACTATAATTCAGTGGAGTTTCTCCTGGTCGTCTTCGCTGCCGTTACCTGTGGATTTGCTGCCATGACTGTGTAATTGCCGTCATCGTCGCTCGTAGCGGCTTCTATGTGTAGCGAACACGTCCCATCACCCTCTCTGATTTTCCTGTAGTGCTCGTTCTTCTTCAAAATCTGCTTCCCATCCTTAAACCAGTAAACCTGAGGGAGGAGTACAAAATAAAAGTCCCACAACATGCAGTTTGAAGACAGAACTTCTCACGACTTTAATATTTTCATATATTATATATTTTGTTGTTGTTGTGGAAATTAGGCAAGGCAAGATTATTTATATAGCACATTTCATACACAATGGCAATTCAAAGTGCTTTACATAGAAGAAATTAAAATAATCAAAAGAAATCAGAATAATTAAAACAGTTTAGAATAAAAAATAATGAAAAATAAAAATTATGATAAAAATAAAATACAGTAAATTAAAACCATTTAGAATAAAATGAAGTGATTAGAATAAATTGATTAGAATAAATTAGAATAAATTGACCAGAAAACAGTTTGAGAAGATGTTTTATTCATTCTTATTTATTTACAAGAAATTAAGTTTTGTTCAGAAAGAACTTTTTAAATCGATGGTGAAGACATTCAAAATCGTACAAAATATTTTTATTTCAAATAAACACTTCGTTTGTACTGACTATATTTTTTTTATCACGGTTTTCACAAAAATATGAATCAGCGCAAAAGCTTTCAACATTGATAATAAATAAACAATTCTTGAGCAGCAAATGATTTCTGAAAGATCATGTGACACTGAAGACTGGAGTAATGATGCTGAAAATTCAGCTTTGATCACAGAAATAAATTACACTTTACTATATTTATTCACATAGAAAACAGATGATTTACATTCTAATAATATGTAATAATTTTTACTGTATTTTGATCAAATAAAAACAGCCTTGATGAGCAGAAGAGACATCTTTTATAAAACTCTTATTTTCTTTGACATCCCAGAATCCCTCAGTCTGTCAAACACTCACCTTGGGAATTGGAATCCCGACGACTTTACATGTAAACGTGACGGGAATCCCTTCCACGGCCCTCAAGTGCTTCAGTTTCTTGTCGAAAATGGGCGCGATGCATCTTCCCGTGGGAATCTCATCATGCTGAACTTCATCATCCGACTCTTCGACCGGAGTTCTCTCCAAACGAAACCCAATCTCACTCATTAGCCGCTGCTCAAAGCTCGACACCTTGTATTCCTACAAAACACATAATTACCAATGAATTAATGATCTTATCTGGTCATAAACGTGTCCCATTGCATCTAAATGAAAGCTTTGGAAACGTCTCCCCAGGATCTGTGGAAACATTATCCACAGTACAGGATCTAACTGCATGTTAAAGTTTTCATAAAAATGTCTAAAAATACAATCATACAAAATCAAGATATATCACCAGATGAAATCAGTGACACATGTTAAAATATGCAAACCGATTACAATAATAACATTATAATGTGAAGTCTTAAAAGCAAACTAGCCCTCCACACGTCAGAGAGGGTATATAAAACTAAATTAGGACTGTGTTTTCATGCAAAAAAACATTCCCAAAGTATGATATGAACCCTATAATATTGCTTCCCATTTAGTACCTACTAGTATATCAACTTGGGGGACCGCCAACATCTCTAATGTAGTCACCTCTATTTATAATACAGAACGGCCCTGTTCATTCCTATCTCTGTCTAGTCTCTCAAGCACTCGTGTTTACACAGACGCCGCTTGCATTCACATAGACACTGTGTTTGAGATGAAAAACAACAGCCTATATAATGGAGAAATCCATTGAACACCGATTTAGTAAGTACGTATAACATGTAGCATTTAATTATATATCTTTATATTAGTTTCTCATGCATAATCTCTCATGACTGAATTCTAGTTAGAGTATTAGTTACGATTAGGGCTGTGAAACGATTAATACATAAATATAAAGTTATAAATCAAAATAAAAGTTTGTGTTTACATAATATATGTGTGTGTATAATTATTTTGTATATATAAACACAGACGTGCATGTATATATTTAAGAAATATTACTGTATATATATACAGGATGTATTAGAGCCCGACCGATAAAGGAATTTGAAGGCCGATACCGATACAAATATTTTGGGGTTTTAAAATCCGATATATCGGCCGATATTTTTTTTTTTTTATTAAATATTGTTGGATTTCACACGCGTGTAAAAGAAAAGCGAACTTTTCTGCACAAGATACGTTTGATACTTTTTCTCTTTGTCTAAATGTTCACTCCTCGCAAGTATGACTTACATTTTACAATGCAGGGACTGTAACTAGAGATATGCTAGTTATAAATACAGTAATCATTACTTTATTTAGGCAGAAAAAGTTCATTGTTGTTTCCAAGCTCATTAATGTTAACGTTAGCGGTCTGATGATAGTGGCATTAGCTAGCTTTGTGGTTAGCTAGTCTATGATTAGCAATAGATCATACTGCAAATTGTAAAACATACATTTTCAATATAACAGGCCAAGGAGAGATGATTAAAGCGTGTTATCCGTTTTTATTTTATTTTTTAAATATTCATTTATCGGCCATTTATAACTGCCGATACCGATATTATGGAAAATGCCTAATATCGGCCGGCCGATATATCGGTCTGGCTCTAGTATGTATATATAATCTATAAATATTTTATAAATAACTAACGTATTTTTATTTAAATATATACATGCATGAGTGCGTATTTATATATACAAAATAATTATCCAAACACATATATTATATAAACACAAATTTTTTTAGGATGGGATTAATTCGTGATTACAATGACACTGCTATATTTTTATCATTCGTTAAACTGAGGTTTTAATAATAAAGCTGGCAGATTTGCAAATCATTTCGGCCTTTAAAATATTGAAACGTTCTGCATGGTCCTCTAAAATGAGTTATTGTGCATGCAGCTCCATTAGTGGAAAAAGCCACCGCTTTATAATAACTCCGAAAGATGTGTTTCTTGTTTTTATGTTGATTAAAAAGCAATCCAGAACAAAGCACTGCTTGCAATGGAGAAGATGCCTTGTACCTCGTCATAGTTAACGACAGCCGCAGTGGGAATGTTTGGTCCGAGAGATCGGCTCACTTCCCCCACATAACTCGGCTTCTATGGAGGACAGGATGAATGACGGTGATGGAAACACAGAGACTAATCACACATCAAGACAAATGTGTGTTTTAGTGTTACTCTGACAGTGTTAATATGGTTCATGATGCGGATGCATATTTGACACATGAAATGATTTAGCATGTGAAAAGGGTGATTCTTTCTTACATGGATGGGTCTTCGCTGATGCATAAATATATTGTATATATATGCATCAACTTATGTATGTTTATATATATATATATATATTAGGGCTGTGCGAAAATTAATTGCGATTAATTGCATCCAAAATAAAAGTCTGTTTACATAATATATTTGTGTGTGCTGTATATAATTATTTTGTATATATAAATACCTATGCATGCATGTATATATTTAAGAATTATTTGCGCTTAAATTCTGTATATATATATATATATATATATTCTATATTATATAAATATTTTATATATGAATAACACATTTTCTTAAATATATACATGCATGTGTGTGTATTTATATATACAAAATAATTATATACAGCACACACAAATATATTATGTAAACACGGACTTTTATTTTGAATGCGATTAATCGCAATTAATTTTTGCACAGCCCTAATATATATATATATATGAAGAGTTCAGATGCAAAAGCATCTAAGTGCCATTTGAAGTTTTCTTCTAGAATGATCATTTTTATCAAGCTTGTATATTGAAGTTCAGTGATTTCACTTAAATGGCAATGATAATTACCTATTAATTGTTATTTAAGTGAAATTACTGAACTTTAATATACAAGTTTGATAAAAATCATCATTAAAGAAGAAAATTTCAAATGGCATTTAGAGGCTTTTGCATCTGAACTCTTCATATATATATATATATATATATATATATATATATATATACATATATACACACTATATACACGTACTGTATATCCAAATATATGGAGATATAAAGACCACAAACAGAAATTAGGTTTTCATTGATAGCAATACTTAAAAATCGAAAGTATTCAGTTTCTAAAAGTCCTCAAATCATGTATATTTGCATTTAAAATCAACATGAAACTATAATGAAGATGGCATTAAGATCATTTCCAATTAGAAAAGAGGGTTTGATTTCATGTTGATATTAAACAGCTTTTAACTGTAAGTCCTAAATCACTTTTTAAAGACCTTTACAGAACAACTAAATATTTACAGTATTTCTCTCTATTTTTGCTAGTATAATAAAGAAGTGCTAGCTATTTTGACATGAAGGGTAGCAAAGATTTATTTGAGAGTAGAGACTGATCTAACTGTGGTATTGTAATATATTATATGCATGCAATGTTATCTTTGAGGATATTTTTCTTCCTTATTCCGTCTCCACCTCCATCAATCAGTGTTTTATAAGCCCACACAAACACTATTACAAACCAAGATTATAAATGCATCACATAAAGAACTCAAATAAACTCATAACTCAAAAACTAAAGCAGATGAGCAATCCTGGGTCTACTTGAGTTTTTAATTAAACTCTATATGCTGCGCATCAGTTACAGGCTGTTTGACTGTATGGTCCCTGGTAAATAAATAAATAAATAAATAAAACACTATTTCTACTATACACTCGTCAAATTACATCTTTGTAATATTGATGACACGTTGTACCTGTTGTCCAAAATGATGTGGTTCATCTTTAAATCGCAACGTCTTCTCAATATCTTGTAAGAGTGTTTCCTTGCTTTCGCGGAGCTCACTATCGGACATGAGTCTGGAAACTCTTTGATTCTTCTTCAGTGAACTTTGAGGCCTGGACATGGAGTAACACAACGAGACTGAGGTAAGAAACACAAGAAGATATAAGCAAACCCTAACCATAACCTGCCCTAAAGGTTTAACTTTAACCCGACTGGCTGTTTGGAATGATTTACTTGGGTAAATCACATTAAAGGGACAGTTCACCCAAAAACGAAACTGTCTTTCTTTAATGCAACACAATAAAGGGATTTTTTAAAGAAAATTGTGGACCGTGACCTTTCTTTTCAATATACTGGAAACGAAAGGGTGTTGGGAGCTTGTCAAGCTCAAAAATGACATAAAACAATCATAAAAGTAGTTATTCCCTGAGAATATTGACAGCCACTCTTTTTGGAACTTTTGTGAACGTTTATAAGATTAACAGTTATGAACAAATCAGTCATGAGTCAAATCTTTTCAACGAATCAGTTGATTCAGTTCATTTGTTCACAGATCTGTTTCTTTATTTAAACACTATTGACTTACTGATGTAGTCACAACAATTAACAGCCAACTGGAGTGCTTAGATCATAGATTAGGTTTCAAAAGATTATAAAATATAATACAGTCAAACAGACTATTTTTATAATAGTTCTATGGTGCTTTTTCATCCTTTCTGAAGCTTGAGAGCAACAGTTTAACACACTTTTATTCACTCTTAGAAGAAAAGGTTCTATATAGAACCTTAAAAGGTTCTATCAGCGCTAGGTATTTGGAACCCCTAAAAGGTTCTATACACTCTTAAAAAAAGGGTTCCTCTAGGTTCTATATAGAACCCTGGGGTTCCATACTTGGCCAATAGAACCTTTTACCAAAAAAAAAGGGTTCTATATAGAACCATTTTGGAGTTCCATATATGAAGCGGGGGATGGAACCATTTCTGGTTCTAAATAGAACCATTTCTTCTAAGAGTGTTGTATTGAAAAATAAGATAAGCCAGGATATTCTACAAAAAATTCTCCATAGAAGACAGAAATTCAAATGGGTTTCTCAAAATTCTTTAATGACTTTATGGGCCGTCAAGAGCCAGTCCCTTAGGCAGTCTATGGAGGAGTGATCCAGCTCTCAAATTTAATCAAAAATATCTTAATTTGTGTTCCGAAGATGAACGAAGGTCTTACGGGGGTGAGTTATTAATGACTTAATTTTCATTTTTGGGTGAACTAACCCTCTTAACTGTCACCGTCCCACAGGTGGGACGTTTGCCACTATATTTTTAAAACAATAATATCTTAGTAAATACCTTAAATAATATTGACAAACTATATATCATTTGAAAGCTTACAATCTCTAGTTTCCATATTTGGTGACTGATTTTCAAAATATATTACAGATGAGCCATAATTTATCAATATAAAACAAGAATATTTTCATACTCATAAGGCGGGTTCAGACCTTTATTTTAAAATAGCAGTAAACATGAAAAATCATGAAAAAATGGTAGATACCTCAGTTTGTTTTCACGCCAAAAGTTCAAAAGATAGAATCCATTCAATTATTTTTGAAAAAAAAAAGGTCTGAAAAGTTTGAAATATCAAGAAAAAAATAATAAATTCACCATTTGTGACGTGGCAGCTAGCTATGACTTACATGCGTGTTCTTTCATATCAAAATCTGCCAAACTTCCCATGCTACTTCTGAATAGGATCTCTACTTCAGAAATTGTATGAAAATTGTGAAAATAATGGTTCATATCACTCAAAACACGAATGGAAATGCAGACGCCCTTATATGGGCAGTAATGGAGTCTGATTGTGCCCTAGTGAAAAAGTTTGGTACTGCGCTCAAACAAAATCTTACTGAAAGCTCATTTTTTGAGATATCAACCTAAAATTTGAAACACAACTTGTTCAGATTTTTGGCTTTGATCTTTCTGCCATTTTAGAGTAGCCCAGGTTTTGAAAATATATATTTTATGTAAAATATGAATAATTAATATTTTTACATTGTACATTTCCATAAACTCAAACTTCTATAACTTTTTTTTTGTTTCACTTTCTTAATTTATTTCACTTCTACAAAAATCTGCCAAATGTCTTCTTTAAAACAAGACCAATCATATGTCTATATTCCAAAGCATTCTTGAATTACAACCATTTAAGTTCGAAATGTGCATTTTCATGTCTATTCAAAAAAGGGGGGGTGACAGTTAACAGGTTAATGTTGAGTTGGAGTTTGCTTACCCCAGTGGGGCCCTTTTGGGCAACCCCATTGCATTGGTCGGAGGAGATGTTGGAAGTGAAGGAAGGACGGAACTAAGGAAGGCCACTGGATTTTGGATGGGACTGGGGCTGGAGCTGCTAGACGTAGACGGTGAAGAAGCTTGTGTTGGAGACTGAGTTCTGAAAGAAAACACTGAGTTCACCAGGCCAGGAGGCAACAGAGGTGGCGAGGACACATACGGGGGGCTTCTCGGAGACTCCAGGACTCTTGTTGGAAACTTTCTTGGGGACGGAGCAAACTGGTTGACGGGCGACGTGATCTCCCGCGTTGACTTTGGGAATATCTGCGCTGCTAATTCGTGTAGCATTGGAACAGGAGACTCAGTTGGAGAAAGACTCCTGGTGGGAGAGAGCGTCTGAGCTGCGATGAACTCCTTCGGCCTGGTGTAGCTGAAGCTCTGGGCGGAGATGGGAAAAATCCCGGGAAGTGGAGGCTGGGAGGTGTTGTTCGGTTGACTCGGGATGGGCGCAGGTGGATTTCTCACCATATGCGGTGTGGGGACGATACTCACGGGTGGATAGGACACATTTTGAGAACGTGTGTCTTGTGGAGCCATGCTGGGATGAGTAATTGAGGTGGTGTTTAACTTGTTCACCACTGCTGCATTAGGGGTCATCAATGCGTCACTATTTGGAACAGAGTTCATCTGAAAGGTTGGATTCATGTTCATTTGTGATATATGACTGGAAGGAGTAATGGGTGGCTTATTGGTCACGTAGTTAGGGTTTGGTTGGATGGATGGAGCCATAATTTGAAGAAACGGCATAGAGTGTCCCACATTTGATTGAGGCATAGGGATGTTGGGAGGTCCTATAGGTTGAGTTATTGGTATCACACTTGGCACATTGGTTGAGATAGGCACCGAATTGTTTGGGGGTATTAAGGTAGAAGGAACCATACTTGGTGGAACAGTGTTTAACAAAGTAGTAGGAACCAGATTTTGTTGAAGGGTGTGTAAGGTTGTGGCTGATGGAGTAAGTTGGGGCAAGGGTATGGAATTGGTTAAATGGGATACAGGAACTGCTTTTAATATGGGAGCAGGGATGGATGCAGGGATCAGCTGTGGAATTGGACCGGAGGGAATTACGAGAGGTGGCACTGGAGGTTGAGTTGGCGTGACAGGCGGAGGCTCACAATTTGTCCCGTCTAAATGTGGTAACTCTTGGCTTGGGGAGACGTTATCTTGCAGCTGTTCCAAAAGCACCTGATTGTGGAGGATCTGAAGCTGCACTGGGTCTCTAGGATAAGAGTAAAAAGGGATAAATCAAATGAATCGAATCTATCTCAGAAGGTCCTAAAATGTTGTCTTGGAACATTCTGAAGTTGGTACTTACAATTTTGGTTTAGCCAACACCGGTGGGGGTTCTTTGGATGAGATTTCCTTCTCCTCTTCTTCTTCTTCATCCTCCGGGAGTTTAAAGGTTACGCGGAGACCAGCTCGAGAAGTAGAGCGGGGTTCATTGTGATTCGCTAACACACCCTCGGGTCTTGTCTTGAGGCAAGAGGTTGGGGGATCCGGTAGGGGTTTAACAGGTGGTTGCTCTTGATGGTTACTGATGTTTACTGTTTTGGGACTAGTAACAGAAAGGCAGGAGGTAGAGTTTGAACCATTTTGGTGATCCAAGTTCAGAGAGGCTAATCCATTGGATGGACTTTGGTTCACTTCTGTGGAAGGCTTACAACCAGACCCTCCTGAATCGAAGTGTGTAGTGCTAGAGTTGACAGACTTATGGTTCGAATCGGAGGTCAGAGAAGAAGCATTGAAGCTGGGTGGGTCTAGCCGAGGTAAACTACTCTTGAAAGTATCTGAGCTGTGTTTACCAATGCTGAGAGGGTTTAGACTTGGCAGGCTAGTGCTGAGCTCATGGCGAAACATACTAGGGTTTAGGGAGTCTGAACGAAAGGTTTCAGAGTCCAGAGGGCCTGACTGCTTAAAGCCAGTGCTCAAAGGGTCGAGACAAATCATACTTGAGTGAATCTTGTTGTTTACCAGAGGGACATCTGGCTTGCGCTTCAAAGTTGTTGATTTCAGGTCTGTTGCTTGAAACTTTGGTGGAGAGGATTCCACAGTTAAAGTGCTTGTTGTTGTGGGTTTGGTGGTGTTGTTATTATTGTGTCCTATTGATGCAGGCAAAAACATTTTTCAGAATTAGACTTGAGGAGTAAGCAGTCTAAGTAAGGGTTAATGCCCGACGAGGTGTCCATTGTCAGGTTTTAATGGACGACGGCCGTCGTCCAGGACGGTTGCCTCCGCCGAAGTGCATTAAAACCTGACAATGGACACCTCGGAGGGCATTAACCCGCTTATACCATGGTCACTTGCCAAATAAAACATTTTTAAAACATTAGCTGCTAGTTTATATTTTAATTAGGCTAAATCAAGTTTTTACAAATAGTAACTTGCCTGGTTTATTTAGCAAATGGAGATATTTATAGTCCGCGCAGCTTGTTCAAAAATGCATTTTTTGTTCATGAAACACAAAGGTAGGCATAGTTATTTTTTTATTACACATAAAACAATTAATCAAACAGGCTTCTTAGGCTTGAAACGCTGTACTCTCCTCCTGCCTTGGTTGTCTGGACAGCTGCGTAAAACTCCCGCAGGGTTTTCTTTGTGACGTTTCTCCGTTTTATTTACATTTTTTCTTTCTTCAGCAGCATCCCAGTCGTCAAAGTTGTCATATTCTCCATAAATGTTAAAAGAAATAACGAAGTCGCTCATTGTTGTATTAGTAGGCTATGTAATATCTAACTAACGTTAGATGTTTGTTTTGATAGAGCAAATTGTTAACGGATACTTTGACTGCCTGTTGCTATGGTTACTCACAGCCGTTGTAGGCAGCGCATTTATTTATTAATTTCGAATGGTAAACAGGCAATTTCACCGGAACTACTTTCCTAGGTGTCCTCTATCACTTTTTAAGGGACACCCTGCAGCCAATCAGAATCGAGTATTCACCCAGACCATGGTATAAGCAGTTTTAGATTGGGAAAACTGACTCAATAATCAATTCCATGCAAATTTACCTTTCACTCTCAACACTGCGATGCTGGAAACTGTGCCATATTTATTGCTGGCTGTGCAAGTAAATGTTCCAGAATCCTCTGGAAAGACCTCCGCAATAACCAACGTACATATCTCCTCTGAAGTCCACACCAAACAGAGAAATGGTAGACTGTTAGGTGGTTAGTGCCATGAAATAATTATCTTGACAAAGCAGCTGTAATCAAAGCCACCTACCAGATTCAGCCATAGATCTTGGTTCTGGATTTAAAAAAAAGCAGAATGTGTGGATTATCAGAGGCCAATTGTAAGTAGAAAAATTCATGCACTTTTTTCATTTACAATATACAAGGATTTTCAAGGATAGGTCCAACCTCATCTTAAAGAGCCCCTATCATAGCATTTGAAATGTTCCTATTTTTTTTAGGTGTGGTTAACATGCATGCAAGGATAAAAACACTTTATTTGTCTTATAATATGCATTTATTTTTAACTGATTTGCTCGCCGACTCCCAAATGATTCGTACAACGACTCATTTTTCCAAACCACTCCTTTGCGTGACGCTAATCGGCGGTGATTGGTCAGATGACAGACCCAGTCAGTTATTGTTTGTTAGCATAACGCATAAACATATCGATAAAGCACTGCAGTACTACAAGACGCTCTATTCTTTATGACAACTCCAACATTTCACATATTTAAAAAAAATTGACATTGGAGACCTAGAAGCTGCGCTGAGCGTAACTTACACACGCGCACACACATACTGCCTCGCACCCCGACGCAACAAAACCGTTCAAAACCCATAAAAGCAACAATTATTAATAATACTTACAGGTTGTGATTCGAAGGAGGAAGCTGATCCATATACACTGGGTAAGTAAGTTACTGAGCCCTCCTTCAGGAACAACCGCTTGCGAATCCACATTTAAATTAATTTATGTTTTTGAACTAAAATAATGAGAACACAATCGGGCTATACTGTTGTGGTATCGCTGCAAATATGAACTCTAACCACCGATTCTTCACATGCTCATCCCTGGTAAATGAAAACAAAGTGGCTGAACGATCTTTGCATTGTAGAACACAGCGTCTTCTCGACATGATGCTATGATGAAGTGTTTGAATGTGTAGACTTCAAGTTTACACTTCCGTCTGCGCGCGCAGTAACTGGGCGCGGCCAATTTGTCTCTACATCACTACGAACCAGCTAATGACTCGTTTCAAAAACAATTCATTTCATAGACTCAGAGTCGACTCTCACTTTTGAAAGACAATAACTTTATATACGGTGCACTTTCAGATATAAATCTTTGTAGGATGTTTTCATTCCCTTAGAGCTATATTACACACCATATGAACAGTCATTTTCAAAAATCCATGATAGGGACTCTTTAACGTATGCATACTGAAATTAGACATACTCTTCTGAAGGATCCTGAAGTCTGGAGAATCTTCAATAAGTGTTCCCTCTCTGTACCAGTCCACTTTGGGGGAGGGAATGCCTTTTACTCGGCACTCCAGCACTACCAGCTGACTCTCCAGAGCCAGGACGTCCTGAAGGTTCTGCACCAAAAGAGACAATGGCGTTCAATGACACTGCAATGGGCAAGCATGTAAAAATTACATTTTTTTTTTTTTTTACATTCTCTTTATTAAATTTTCTACATTGGCAAATACATGCACACACATTAAAAAAAAACAAAAAAAAAACAACTTCAACAAAATTCACTTTAAATTCACAATATAGAGCGCAGAAATATTCTTGTAAACAATATTTTAACACATAAAGTAATGCTATAGGGAGGAAAGAAAGAGGGGGGGGGGGATAGTAGCAGTAGTGTAGTTAAGGTTCAATTATTGCTGTCTTATTAAAATAATGAATAAAGGGTTTCCATACTGCAAAAAAATGAGTCAAAATCAGTCTTGCTTTTTAAGGAAAATCTAATCTTTTCTAGTTGAAGGTGGTGCATAACATCTCTAATGAGGGCAGAGCAGCTTGGTGAATTTTTTTGCTTCCAGTTGAGCAAAATCAATCTATGTCCCAAGAGTGTGACAACTCCAAGCACAATACACTGTTTTTTAGACAGCTCAACACAGTCAGTATTGATAAAAAAATAGCCATAACGGGGTCTGGGTCTAGTGGTTTTCCCAACACCTTTAAAAACTACATTTTTATACATTCTGAAAATAATGTTAGAGGTGTTCGCTCATGCAAAACTACCACAATGCCTGCCGTGCATTTTAATTGGTGTTCTGAAGGGTTAGTCAAACAAGGTCACCACTAAGTGGTTATTATATTATATTTCACTATTATATATATTATATTTCACTATTACACTATTATATTTCTAGAAACGGCTTGCATTGGACTGTTTCATTGTCCGACATGCAAAAATCCTAAGTCTGGTTGCATAACTAGGTTAGAAATACAATAAGAGTTGTGTTTGCTCTACCTTTGTAAAAACAGGAGCTGCCATTATGGGCCTCACATCGAAGTTTTGAAGATAACTACTGCTGCCATTTAGATTCTGAAACAGAAAATGTATAATGTAGGAGAAACACATGCATGAGTGGGTATGATCAAAACTGTAGATTTGTGTTTTTCGTACCTCAGGAATGCTCTGTTGAGACGTTAACAGTATATCAGAGATACTTTGGCTTGATTGAAGTGATGATGGTGTTATGGTGAGGGTTGGAGAAAGCGGAGTTGGTTCCACCTCAGATATTGGCTCTAGTGGTTCTAGTACAGGTACGGTTGGTTCTGGTACAGGTATGGCTTGTTCTAATACAGGTACAGTTGGTTCTAGTACAGGTACGGCTCGTTCTAGTACAGGTATGGTTGGTTCTAGTACAGGTATGGTTGGTTCTAGTAGAGTTATTTCAGTGCTGACGACCTTGGTTCTCAGAAGTTCTGTATCTTCTTGTTCAGATGGAGAGTTAGCGTCTGAAGGTGCTGGTGGTTCAGTGCAGGTGGTTGTCACAGTTGTGTCTTCAGCAGATGTGTTGAACTCAACCGAGATCTCAGCAGGCTTGGGCTGAGGAGATCTATTGTGAATTTTGAAAAACAAAGTGTTCATGTGTTTTCAAACAGGTCCCTTGTGGTCCATGAAGGTACTAATAAGAGAGAGTGGCAACAGCGCTGGTAAGATAATTTCGTTTCTTTACTTGAAGATGATTGTGTGTTAAGCGTCTGTGACTTACTTTCACTTTTATTTGCGATGTTTGCACGTTGGCTATTGCTCAGCTGTTCATCTGTGGTGATGCGTGTGGCAGTAGCGCCGTCATATCTGACTATAACATGACATATAGCCTATATAACACGCTCTCACTTGTTTATTTATTTATTTTTTTTTGCATTTTTGGGAGGAGTAAAATATACATATGTGGTTTCAACAACCAGATTGCGTTTACACCTAGTAAAGATCCGGACACAATGCGAGCCAGACTACCAGATGTGGTCAGGCAGATCCGATCACAACGCATTTACACCTTGCATTAACATGCGTTTTTTTATTATCCGGATAACTTATCTGGATACAGATCGCATTTTAATACCAGGTGTAAATGGGGTCTAAGGTACAAAATATGCAGCCTTTGGGTACAAAAGTGTACCTTTTGAAAAGGTACAGCCCCAGTGACAGCTTTTGTATCTTTTTTTCTGAGAGTGTAACATGATTCAATGTTGGAAAACCTGGAAACTCACTGTTCTTCAAAATGTTGTTCTCCGTCAGAATCCGATGAAGACGCTCCTATTAGAAAACGAAACGATGCTGCTATAAGCTGCAGCTGCAATAGTTATTCATATATGAAACGGTCAATGATTGATTTACGTACCCTCAATGTAGATTTCTGCTGAGGTGGAGTCTGTGCCATAAAAGTTGGAGGCAAAGCACGAGTATCTGCCTGTGTCTTCTTCAAATGCCTCGGCTATGATCAGAGAGTGTCGCTCACCGTTGGTGATGATCTGAATATCAGGACTGTTTTCCAACTCTTTACCCTCACAAAACCACCTGGAAAACACAATCCGAATGTTGGAATACACATCAAGCACAGACAATAACAAATAACAACACAGTAGCCCTAAAACCGTATTCACTTTACAGCACTTAATCCTGTAAAAAACTGTGGGCACAGAGGACTCAGGTGTGATCCTAATTTTTATTTATTATAAATGTTATATCACTGTCTTTGATAAAGTTTTGTCTATACATTTATGATGGTTTAGTTTATTTTAGGGGTATTTTTGAATTTATTTACTTCAAAAAGTACCATATTTTCTATGTAAATTAATTACTATGTAGTTTTATTTTTATTTTTTTAACTACATTAAAATATCATTCCAATAAGTTCTTAGAGCTAAAACCTAAAGATGAAGTCAAAGTCTTATTTTGGCTTATTTTAGACTGCTCTAAATTACAGTTTTTCCCATTCATTTCTATGGGTGCCTATTTTGACCCAAATACAAGATTAAGGAGTTTTTTCACCCACTTAACATTGTAGAATTGAGTCAAACTTAGGATAAGTAGCCAAGTCTTGTACGTTGTACCGCTCAGATCAAGGGAAGTATTTTTTTTTTAAATAAATCAAAACTATTTTGCCCACATTTGTCCAGAATACGGTTTTAGGGTTAAAACATACATACAAATCCTGTATGAACGCATTTGGTTTTATTTGACCTTATGTGACGACCACAACTATGTTGTATTCTGACTATAAACGATTAAACCCAGTTCATTTATATCACATAATATGTTTCTAAATGCATATTTAACAATATTTTAAGTGTGCAAGTGACACTATCCTGTAAGCCACAGAGGTCATTAATACAAGCCTTACAAAACAAAGGTAAACCGCCTTTTTTCCAACAATATCTTGTATTGATATGAGATCTTCAATGGCTGGTGCCTGCCGGGTGTTCGATAGATAGATAAAACATGCACCATTTAAACCAAAAATGTGAAAATCCAGTAACAAGATTTAACAAGGTAGCACTTTTGTTAATCATTCAAGCAGACAGTTGTTGACTAATGCATAAAATCTCATAATAGCCGAACATCAGCTAATCTATCGCCATCGCGCCGAAGTGATGACGTCACTTTGTAGGACAACTCGGAAGCTAGCGGCGCATGGGTTCCCTCGGTCGAAAAGCAATGCATTTTCCCCATAGACTTTTGGAAAATCGCAAAAAATAAGATCTGTGTTCAACAAAGAGTTGTGACCCTTACACGTTTTGTCTAGCAAGATAATCTTTACAAGTTAATCCAAAATTTATACATTTTGAAGCCTATATAATGATTTAAAAAAAAACACTCAGACACAATAAAGTTTAAAAAAAAACACAAGCAGGTTATAACTATGTGTTCAATGTCATGGATCAAAGCGTGAAAATATTTAGAGGCTTTTTTCACCACAGACCTTATTTCAGGCGATTTAGCAAAAACACATTCAAAAATCCCATAGGCTTTAGAGCGAGGGAAGCGTAATGCTAAAATGCTAACTCACTTCCGCGTTTTAGCCTACAGAGTGACGTCGTAAATTCGGCAATCTCGCGGTCAAAACCACATCAGTCACAAACACCTCAATTAACATCAAAATAATAGTATATTTCCTTTTTTAGGCAAGTTACCCTTAAAAAATTGTTTATGAGCAAAAGCTATTTACTTAATGACTAAATAGATTAAATGACACCAGACATTATTATTTATTTCACCAGATAGCCTACATATCGAAGCATTTCTTTAGTCACTTACTGGCAGAAATCAGTTAATTGATACCAAGCTGCTGAAGCCATTTACTAATAAAGTTATATCATTAAAGATAGTTCAATCTCATCACAAAAATCAGCCCTTCTTTTCAAACGCAGTGCAACACAAATCAGCATTTATTCAGCGTGAAATCAACGGGTTAAGAGAGTATTATCAGATCCATAAATACACCTTAACCACAGCCTTACCTAGAGTGACCGTATTATTTTACTTCCTCTCCGTCCCTTATCGTGAAATTTTAAAGCGCTTCTGAAGCGATAAGTCGTGGTTCATTCCAAGGGCGAGACATGTCTGAAATGTATTGTGTTGGAATGGGATCCCAGAGCCAATGAGGATCATTTCCAGTGAGCAAGACTCTACTTTGAAAGGCTGAGCTGCGGGGGAGAGACTTCCAGCGCCGGATCTGCACCTGTTGGGTCTATTTTTCCTCTCGACCCGAAACCCGGCAGCATCCCTGACCGACACACATGAACACACAGAGCTAAACATAGAAGAACGGCCTCTCATTCAATCGCCAACACAACACACACTAATAGATCTGTCAGTTAGTTAGCACACATTTGAGTCACTTGACATTTTTAGGTTCGCTACAACATCCAGAATGTGGGGTTTCTTTACATTTACTTGATGAAAATTATTGTGTGGTGAAGAAAACGCTACGTCAGGCAAGAGTAAAAAAATATTGTTGGTTTAACTTAAAAAAGTAAGTAACCTGGTTGCCTCAAAATTTTAAGTTCATTGAACTGGAAAAAGTGAGTTAATACAACGAAGGAGATTGATTTAACCATCAGAAACTCAAAATTATATGTTATCTGAACTAAATAAATTCTTTAAGTTGATTTGACAAAGAAAAAATGTTGTGATTACTACACTGTAAAAAAAAATTGTTGGTTTAACTTAAAAAAGTAAGTAACCTGGTTGCCTTAAAATTTTAAGTTGATTGAACTGGAAAAAGTGAGTTAATTCAATGAAGGAGATTAATTTAATCAATAGAAACTCAAAATAATAAGTTATCTCAACTAAATAAATTATTATAAAGTTGATTTGACAAAAGAAAATATGTTGTGATAACAAATCTTGAAAATATTTATTGATTTTAAGCTTGTAGAAATTAAAGCGTAAATCTCAATGATATAAAATTAAGTAAAACCCACTCAACTGGTGTTCCCATCATGCACTGCACTGTAAAAAAAATTGTTGGTTTAACTTAAAAAAGTAAGTAACCTGGTTGCCTTAAAATGTTAAGTTGATTGAACTGGAAAAAGTGAGTTAATACAATGAAGGAGATTAATTTAATAATCAGAAACTCAAAAAAAAAAAAGTTCTCTGAACTAAATAAATTATTTAAGTTGATTTGACAAAAGAAAAACATGTTGTGATAACAACTCTTGAAAATATTTTTTACAGTGTGGGGCATTCATAATTAATAAGGTTGATTTTTCACTGTTTTCCAGCATTACTTTTGTTGTTAGGTTTGGTAATTTGCCATTTTGTGACATCTGGATTAATTTTCTACTCAGAATGACACATTCATACTCAAAAACTATATCTATCAGATGTTACTGTTATTGTGTACCAAATATTGAGGTCTCTGTGTTCAGATGCCATGATATAGTATGGAATCTACAATTTCTATTGTATGATTTACTTAAATGTTTCTAAGTAAAGCATACACTTTAAAATTGTGGTTTAATTCAGTATATTGTTAGAGTAAAAAGTTAATTTTGTTAAATTTCCTTAGTTAATTTTGTTAAATTTAACTTAGTTAAGCAGATGTTACTTTATTCTATATGCGAAATTTCATTTAAGTAATTTAACTCCAAATAAATGTTAAATTTAACAGTTAGTAGATTTTACTTGATAATAACAATAACATAAGTTATAGAGAGGAGTGGAAGGAAAATTTAATTAGAAGGATCCTCGAAACAATTTGCACTAACACATTTTATCAAGTGTTTTTTTTTCAGTGGTTTAGGGAATATTTGGAAACAAAGAAAGTTTAAGGAAAGTGAAGAGGTTTTGCACATCCACAGATATTAATAAAATGATGACCCATTGAATCATGTTGAAAAGGCAAGTTACTTCTGGTCAGTGGATTCTCGCAGGAGTGTGTGTATGATCTAATGTTTCTGACATCACAGTCTCTGGGTCAGCTGAATGTGTGTAACGTACGTGACTGCAACAGTTGCCGAAACACGTCACCTGTCACACACACTCAGAAAAGCACGGGTTTCCTTGACCCGTCAGTGTGGGAAGCTTGCGTTGAGTAATGTTACTAAGGTTTCATCAATGACACACTGATAACCAACTTCAGCAACATATGAGAAAAGAACTTCATAAACAATGGAAATCCTTCCATTAATTAATTAATTACAGGGTGTTTAACAGACGTTTAAACTGCTTGAACTCGTGCTACTGCTATGCAAACATTTATCTTTCAGCTTTCACAAGACTTCTTTGTGCTTATAGAAAATGTATGGTCAATTTATATCATGTTATTAAATGCAAAAAAGATAAATGTATAATCAATTACAATAAGGTTTCATTAGTTAACATGAAACATAGGTTACTTCTCCAGGATTTATTCATCTTAATTAATGTTAATTTCAATAATAATACATTAAATTAAATGTTGTATTTGTTAATGTTAATGCACTAACATGAAAACATAATCAATAGCTTGATTTTTATTAATTAACTAAAAACGAAGATGAATAAATACTGTAACTAATGTATTGCTATTAAATGCAAAAACGTAAATGCATGATTAACTTTTATTAAGTTATTAAAAGCAAAAATATTAAATGCATGATCAATTTATATTACATTATTAAATACAAAAATTTCAAATGCATGATCAATTTATAATACGTTATTAAATCCAAAAACGTTAATTGCATGATCAATTTATATTACATAATTAAATACAAATATTTCAAATGCATGATCGATTTATATTACGTTATTAAATGCAAAAATGTTAAAAGCACGATCGAGTTACATGACGTTATTAAATGCAAAAATGTTAAATGCATGATCAATTTATGTTATTAAATGCAAATATTTCAAATGCATGATCGATTTATATTACATTATTAAATGCAAAAATGTTAAATGCATGATCAATTTAAATGAAGTTAAGGCATTTAATGGTTTTGCATTTCATAACTTAATATAGATTGATCGTGCATTTAATGTCGTCATATAAATTGAGTCTTTAAACCATAACATATACCTTTCATCACACTGTAACACACACTGAGTTAAGTCTTGACTTGAGTTTCTAGAGAAGCACAAGCTGAATATATCATGCTGGAGAAGCACATTTGCACAATCTGACTCATACAACTCTTTAAGGCTTTACAAGTTATGAGAGACTTTTTAATTTCTCCTCCTCTGCAATTATCTAAGACATAAACATGTTTCATGACAAACACACTCAAAGAATTAAAAAATCATTAAACTTATACTTAGACAGTCCAGTTTATATCAAAGTACAATGGGAACAGTGTTCTAGTTTACTAAAACTAAAAATATATAAAGTTCTTTCTATGAAATAATATATAAGAGTATTAGATGAAAAAGGTGAAACCTAAAAAAAAGTTACATTTTTTAAATAAAATAAGTTTAAGTACTGAAATTACAAAAAATAAATGAAAGCTAAATTTAAATATTAAAAAAAAACTAATACAATCCAACGATAAAAGCACAACAAAATTGCTAAAAAATATTCAAAATATTAATAAATACTATGGCATTGATATCCATCTGATACCACAATAGTACATTATTTTCTAAGGAAGTGACACTCATGTTGTGTGGTTTATTTCATTAAATGGGACGGAAAGGACATTCACTACTCGAGTAAACACTGCCGCAAAAATCCATCATATTTGCGCTAATGTGTCCATGTAATATATTTTGTTTACTCGTATATTCGTTGGCTAACTGTGCTCTACTGAAGAGGTAGGACATTAATTTCGCCTGCATTCTCATAGCATCATATTTCCAATGTGGCAAAATTAGAAAGGCTGAGCTCAGACTGCATGTTATACGCTCAGCTTTCACAAGACTTCTTTGTGCTTACACTAGTGTTATAGATTCCTTGCACACTTTAAAATAAAAAGATTACTAATTATGGAAATAATATAGGCTACTTTTAAAAAAGTCTGAAAAGAAGTGACTGTTTACAGATAATTACGTTAACCAACCATTCAGAAACGCCCTGTTCCGGGTGTGACTCCGGTTCAAGCACAGATGTGTCTCAGAGACTCCCACTGCCATTCTCTCTCCAAAATATCCCTCAACTGTTGTCAAGGCAACACGCCCCAAAGAACAGGGGGCGGAGTCAACAAAGCTCATTATCATTTAAAGGCATACACTCTCAGAAAAAAAGATACAAAAGCTGTCACTGGGACTGTACCTTTTCAGAAGGTACACTTTTGTACCCAAAGGCTGCAAATTAGGTACCTTAGTGGTACATATTAGCACCTAAAATGTACATATTAGCACCTGATATGTACACAAATTTGCCACCTAAAATGGACATATTAGCTCATGAAATTGACATATTAGCACCTACAATGTACATATTAGCACTTAAAATGGACATACTAGTACCTAAAATGTACATATTACCACCTAAAATGGACATATTAGCTAATGAAATTGACATATTAGCACCTAAAATGCACATATTTACACTTAAAATGTACATATTAGTACCTAAAATGTACATTTTACCACCTAAAAATTTACATATCAGGGCCTAAAATGTACATATTAACACTTAAAATGTACATAGCACCTGAAATGTACTTATAGCACCAAAAAGTAAGGTACAGCCCCAGTGACAGCTTTTATACCTTTTTTCTGAGAGTGTATGCACTGAAACGGCGTGCTGAAAACAGCTGTTTTTGACCAGGTAAACTTAGCGTTTTCTTACAACACTAATGAGAATTTTTTATAAAAATATATTAAAGTTTTTATTTAGACCCTAAAAATTCATATTAAATGTCATTATATGATCCCTTCAAGTAAAACTAAATCCACAACAATGATTCAATGATTGGATCTCTAAAAAGGTTCAACATATGAAGCGTGTTTGCAGTTTCTATACGCCAGAGCAATGCTAATAGTAATATTTGACCACTAATTACCGTACGTACAACAATAAAAGTGAAACTCACCGGACTTCAGGAGCAGGCAGTCCTCTGACGATACAATCCAACTGGACTTTACTTCCCTCGGGAACCTCCCTGCTTTTGAGTTTCTGTATAAAGTGTGGAGGTTCACACACGGGTTCCTCGGCTTGTATCAGAGCCGGTGCTTCACACTCAATTTCACGCGACGGCTCCGGTTCCTCCGGTTCCTCGGGCTCCTCTGTGTCCAAGACTTGATTGTTCTCCATCGGCTCCTCCATTCGAATCGTCCGTTCTCTATCGTCAGCATTAATGGAGTACGAAGTTCCATCGAGTTGGGTTTTGTTCTGGTATCGGCTCCGGTGCGCTTTACACGTACGCGGCCGAACTCGCTTAGAACTGTTGGACTTGAACAGAGACGAAAGCTCTTCTATGAAGTCGGCGGCCTTGTTGAGGAACTCCTTCTTGGATTGGGTTTCCAAGCCATAAGGAGCGTTTCGTTGGGGTCTTTTGAAATCGGCCGCCGCTTCCCTGGAAGTTCTGACGCTCCTGATCGTGTTTTCTTCGATTAAAGGCTGGATCGGTTGACTCGACTCGGACACGACCTGAGTGGGTTTGCTGGAGAAATGGCTCATTTGTGGGCATCTCTCCTCACGTTCTCGTGGATCATTGCTGATCGCTTTGCAAGCCAGATCCACACTCTTATCCAGTTCTTCTTGGCTCAGGAAGGCAGAAAGGTCTGGAAACTGAGCGTCCACTTTCCCGCCTAAATCCTCCGGTTTCTCTTTAACCGTCCCGTACAGCAGAAGTCGAGGCGCGTCGATTAGGCTGGGCTCGCCGTGTCTGTGATGGGCTCTGGCTTCGGATAAATAACTCTCTCGTAAGTGCTGAGATAAAGACGTGGGCTGATCCATGTTGTTCTCCTCCATGATGCTGGAAACACAGATTAAGAACGTTAAGGAACGTTTTTGGGCACATTACATTACTTTAAGTCCGCCTGTAGTCAATAATTATCACTTAAAACTCTTCTTTGATCACCAAAATTACTATTTAAACTAGGGATGCACTATATATCAGCATCGGCCGATATATGTTCATGTTTAATGTTATCGTTATCGGCCTGGTAAGAAAATGTATGTGGCCGATATATTAGCTGATAAATAATGTATTATGTTTATGTTTTTGAATTTCTTGAAATATGATTGAAATCTCTTCAAAAATACGGTTCAGTAAAACATGTGCAGCGCAAATCTGTCATGTCGGCTATACAACACTATAACATGGACATGGATTTAATTGTGAGACTTTTGTTTTGATAATAAGGCTCTCAAAATTAGAAAAATTAAAAAATTTGGATTTAAGTTTATCGGCCTCGGTTATATATATATATATATATATATCGGTTATCGGCTTTCAAATATAAAGAATTATCGGTTATATCGTCCAAAATGCATCCCTAATTAAACGTTATTTCCTTGAAAAAAATGTCGTAAAATATCTGTAACCCGACACCCTTGCCTCATTTAGTATATGCGGAATATGCAAATGAGCTCCGCCTCCACTCACTCAGCTCAGAGATCCACTGGTTGACGATCACACGTTGATCTGATTGGTTACAAGGTTGTTTGTGACGTCAGAAACACCAGCGTGTTTTTGAGACTGTCTTTGGTTCACTGCAGTTTTACTCGGCAATGCTGTCGAATTTACTTATGGTTTGTCTTAAAGCATATTAAAAACACCACATAGACACATAAACAACATTAAAAGCTGGATTTTCACCACAGGGGGACTTTAATGCCTTCTGCTAACCCACTGTAATTTATAACTACTGTATATATAAATAGAGTACAGCTTTCAATAAATTAGTGATAGATATTGTGCCTATATTTGTAGAAATTAATTAGGTTTACATGGAGCGATTAAATAAATAAAAAAATCACATTGATAACACATTTACACTGTAAAATGATATAAATCATGATATATATCATTTTAGAGCTGAGCACAACTAGAAAAATTCTTATTCACTATAAGTTTGTATTCATTTCCATGTCTTCTTCAAACCTGGAAATTGCAATTATGAAATTTCCCTGATATTTCCAGATCTTCATGCATAACTTAAACATGCCAACTAACCTGATATTCCCGGAGAATAAAATGTAGTTATTAAAAGTTAAAACTATGAAGCATTTCGTTTGGATGTTTTGGAGATTTTTGTGAGATCAATTGACTCCTAAATATCAGATCAAAGAATATCCATGACTTCTCCAGTTATTTTTGATATGGATTTTGTAAACAATAATTTATAATAAGACTGCAGTCAGATTTTTAGAGAGGAAAAAATTTTTAAAAATCATATTCACTCCAAGATGTCATTAATTTCCATGTCTTCACCGGCCTGGAAATAATACCTATAAAATGTCCTAATATTTCCAGGTTTTCTATGACCGTAGGAACTTGCATGCATAACATATTCAACTTAAACATTCCAAAGCAGGAAAAGTCTGGAAAGAAAACGCCATTTTCATGAAATGTAGCTGTATTTCAAGCATCTGGTTTGGATGTTTTAGAAGTTTTTGTGTCACAACAAACGAATTATTTGTAATATTTAGAGTCCAATATCAAAACACACTCCCACTTGATGATACGTGTCTTTATCTATTATGTAAATAATCATTCAATGCAATACACTTGATGATTATACATTGTACCTATACTTATACATATAATTACATCAATAATTACCACTTAACCAAACCTGGGTTACACTTTATTTTAAGGTGACGCAGTTACATATTACTACATATAGTACTAACAGTAAATGATGCATAATTACAATTAAACCAAACCCTAACTCTATAGTAAGTACATGTTACTTATTTGAGGCATTACAATGTAAATACATCACCCTAAAATAGTGCAACCCAAACCGGTCCTCACCTTACCCGTATCCACCTCAATAACAGCAAAAGTGTTTCACAATACAACATGAAAATAAGCAATGTATGAAACAAATATACACATGGTCTAGGTCTTAATAACCCCCTTATAGTGCTGGATTACAACAGTGCATCATATTACATTAAATGCTAAAAAGAGAGGGGTTATGATTATTAAAACCAAAAGTTACAACTTTAAGCAAAAAATGTCTTTCTATACAGGTGACCAAGTATTAAACGTGGTAAATAAAGAAAAATACTTGGCTCACATCATTAAAAATAGATGCTATAATATAGCTCATTGTTTTTCTCTTTATACGGTGCACTTGTAGTGTAAACATAGTCGAGTTGGACAAGTGCAAGCCAAATGTGTATATCTAATAATGCATGCAATTATATGCATGCATAATGGTCTTAAATAACATTAGGTATTTTTCCTTGAAAGCAAGTTATGATATGATATCTGTTCGTAAATGCATGTTTACATATTTTCTTTTCACTTTTTGATATGGACCTACAGGTCTGAAGTAGAGAATGACTTGAAATGAAAAGACTCCCAATTTAAAGTCTGAGAAAGCTTTTGCCCTGTTGTTATTGAATCCAGAAACGGGATATGCCTGCAGATGGTCCTGACACTCAAATCAGAGCAATTAACAGAAGCAGCGATGCCCTTCCAACAGACCTGTCCGGGCAGCTGGTGTGTGCATGAATCCAGAGCACACACACACACACTTCAGCTAATTATAGTCAGGGCTCACTTTACATGAACAAAATACAACACAATAATATCATTACAAACATCATCAATCCATAAACTCTTCCATTAGATTCTATGCATATTTCTTGAGTACATCATTTACTAAGTTGAAAACTTAGTAAAGTTGAAAAGTACATTTACATTAAATGAAACGGTCACCAGCTTTACCTTAGACTTCAGTGTGAGCGTCCTGCTCCACAAGTGTGTATATCCACCGCACCTGCTTACAATCCACTGCAACTCCAGCTTTACAGACGCCTGAGCGCTCCCTAGACTTGGGGAAAGTTAACCTTGAGTTTCTCCTAGTCTTGGGGAAAGTTAACCTTGAGTTTCCAGCAGCGGCGACGGCCTGTCCGGGAGACCTGTCACCATGAAGCAGAATCATCCGTCAGTGTGTCGGTGGCAGGTTATCAGGAGGAGGTGGAGGGATTTGAAGCGTGTGCCAGGGAATGAGCCGTCCTCATTGGCCAGAGCACCCACGACAGGCTGGAGGGCACAGAAGCAGTGCATTATGGACGGTAACTGGAAATAATAGGGCAAAAAGGAGATTTTTTTATGTTTGCATGCCAAGCACAGATGATTTTAAACACTCATTGTCATGTGCATTAATGAAAATGAACCCTGTTTTTAAGTAAAGGACAATTAAGTAAAGGTATACATAATGCACGTTCATAAACATCTTTTCATAAATAATTGCAACCAAAGTTATAATGCATTATATTGGCAGACTTGATGTTTGTTATGCGTTTTAATTAGTGCTAACTAATTAATCGCATCCAAAATAAAATGTTGTTCTGTGTACATTTATTTTGTATGTACAAATACAATATTTTTTGAAATATTTGCATGTATATACTGTATTTATTTAAAGGAGTAGTTCACTTTTAAAAAAACTTTTGCTGATAATTTACTCACCCCCATGTCATCCAAGATGTCCATGTCTTTCTTTCTTCAGTCGAAAAGAAATGAAGGTTTTTGATGAAAACATTCCAGGATTTTCTCCATATAATGGACTTCAATGGGGTCCAAAAGACAGTTTCAGTGCAAACTGTTCAAAGGGCTTTAAACGATTCCAGACGATGAATAAGGGTCTTATCAAGTGATTCGATCGCTCATTTAATAAATAAATAGCAAAGTTTAAGTTTTATAAGCTCAAATGCTCGCCTTGCTCTGTACTGTGACGCACTCTCCTGTTCGAACTTGTGTATCAAAATGAACGAATCAATTTATCCATTTCGTTCGTTGAATCAAACAAATGACTCGGAAAAAGATTTGTTCATTTTGATGAACGAGTTCGAACAGGAGTCGTTCATACGATACATTATAAGGTAGATTACAAGGCATTTTTAATGCATTCAAATGTTTTATAATAATGGGTTTGAGGAAAGTCTTTTGCATTGTGAAAATACTGTGTTCACCCTCAAATTCTCATTATTGCACTGGGAAAAACACAATCACAATCATGCTTTTAGATTCAAACTATAAAATAAAACAAGATCAAACTTTTTGGTGAAAACCGTTTATTTTCAAGTGTTGCCGTTTTACTCTTTTCATACATTGTTTTGTAATGAAATTATCTTTGAAAAGATTATCTTACACATACCCGAGGGCTGACTTTAAGATGAGTTCAACAGGAATTACCCATAACTCTCTGAACATGGTGATCAATACGTTTTGCTTAATTCCTACTCACTTTAAAAAATATTTTTCAACCAATTATATTATATAACGCTTGAATATACTTCATAAATATATTCAAATATTTAACTAGTGATCTATTTAGCATTATATAATTTTAATACTGTTTGTTATTGACTTAACTCAACTAGTTTTAGATGAATTACGAGCAGCCCTTTATTTTACACCTGTTTCTCACATCGGTTATTTCGGTTTCAGGTTAAATGTGTGATTGTTTTTAATATTTATGGAAGCACATTTCTTCATAATAATGAAAAGTCAAAATTATAATAATTTTGTCATAATAATGATAAGATTAAAAGTTGAAATTGACTTTCTCATCAATTAATTCAAGACAATTTAGTTCATAATTATGACTTTATCTTTATGAATTTTGACTGTGTATGTTGATTTTGATTTAAGACCATTTTATAATTATGACTTAATCTCTTAATTTGACAAAAAAATGACATTTTCAACTTTTTAAGTCATAATTTTAATTTTTAATCTCAATTATGACTGTTTCCTCTCAGAATTTTGACTTAGAATGTTAATATCGACTTTTCATGTCATAATCACCACAGCATAATTTATTTCTATGTGGTGCAAATGGGCTTCCATAACTATTAGATAATCTACTAATGCAAAAAGAAAAAAAAAATCTGCAGTTGTCATTAAAAAAAAAAAAAAACATGATTCACTTATCACATTTCACTTAAAAAGGTCTAAAAGGAAAAAAGGCAAATAGCCAAAGGCACGTCATGATTAGGTAATATGGTCGTCAGATAAAAGTGTGTCAAACCGAATATAACTCTGTTAACCACAGTAGTGATCCTAAAATAAAATCAAAACTTTGCATTTTAAAACAAGTAGGTATTAATCTGAATTCTGAATACCTTCATTCATCACTTGGCAAAACATCCAACATCACGTTCCTTCAGTCTAACGCCGGCCACATTAAAACACGCATAAAACCATCCATTCTGAGACCACCGGATGATGATGATGATGTCACTGAGGGAAATATAACTTAGAAAACAGCCTGATTGGACTAATCAACCTGGAAACATGATGTATTCTGTGAATCCAGAACAAGAGAAAAGAGCAGGTCTATAAATCCAGCTCCTGTATAACTGGACACACACACACACACACACACACACACACACACACACTGAAGGCCATAGTGATGCTGCTCATGCTTGTGTAGTTCTGTAATGCTTTTGCAAATCCTCAAAATATCCGAGAATTCCCAAAGGACTGTATGAAGCATCGGATAAAGTCTTTCGGTTCACTGAAGTAGTGTAAAAACCCACTTCGCAGTCACGATTCTTCACTCGCTCGCTTCCGAGACTGATCGCCCCTGCAAAACAACGGCACGGGTCAAGCTAGCATGTTTAACGGGCTGAATATTGCCTGTTGAATATTACAGGTTTGTATTTTTAAACTGGATTAATATATTTGGAAGTGAAATTTGAAAGTAAAATAATGCCAAATGTTAGCTTGTTGAATTGCACTACTTGGAAAAAATACACATTGCATTATTAATCGTGATTGTATTTTAATGCATTATATTTTTAGGGTTTGCATTTTTATGGGCTGTAATTCAACATGGTTGTATATTTAAGCTGTGAGTATTTCAATTCAAAACTTTTGACAAACATTATTAAAAATTCAAAAATCACCTTTCAGATTTTACGTTTAAAAATACAGGTCGTAGTTTTGAAAGGATTTTTAATAATGTTTTTTAATAATGTAAATGTTTTTCATTTTTGAATTTTTAATAATGTTTGTCAAAAGTTTTGAATTATATTCAATAATATATGAAGAGTTCAGATGCAAAAGCCTCTAAATGCCATTTTAAATTTTCTTCTTTAATGATGATTTTTATCAAACTTGTATATTTAAGTTCAGTGATTTCACTTAAATAACAATTAATAGGTAATTATCATTGCCATTTAAGTGAAATCATCATTAAAGAAGAAAATTTCAAATGGCATTTAAAGGCTTTTGCATCTGAACTCTTCATATATTCAATAATATTCATAATAATTATATTCAATAATATTGAATAACATTCAACATGCAATATTCACTCCATTCAAAATGCTAGCCCTAAAAATACAATACATTGAAATAAAAGCACGATTAATAACGCAATGCATATTTTTTTTCCCAAGTAGTGCAATTCAACAAGTTTTTAGCATTATTTTCCTTCCATAGTGTTATTCAGCACAAGCTGAGGTTACGGTTTACCTGGAGACGCCGTTCTGAAAGAGCTCCATCTGTAGCTTCTGGTCCTGAGCCGCGTAATACTCCAGCTGAGACTCCAGCGCCGGAGGAGCGATCTGAGGAATGAACCTGGAGAACAGGGCCGGAGCGAGAGGGACCCAGTCTGTGGGGAAGCACATCACTTCCTGTTAATTTTATTTTTTTAATTTTATTTTTTATTATAATTTTAATTCATTTTAATTTTTTTTTTAATTTTACAGGTGGAAATCTTTGGCTTGAATGTCATTTGAATTGTTTCCAAAGTGAACAAATTTTTCATTATTGTGCATTCAGAACGATTCAAACTCTGTGTTTTGATCTAGTGAGATATATATACACATATATGTGTATGCGTTTATATACTGTGTGTATATATATAAAACAGTCAAACTAATTTTACCTGGCCGGAGGGTGTAAAGACCTTTCACAACACTCTCCATAGTCGACGGGTTGACTTGAAATGGCATGGAATGAGCCTTTTTAAGAAGAGCTGAGAAAACAAAATTAAACACTTTGACACAAAATCAAATCACAAAATCAAAACATATCGGCAAGATTTAGCTTCTCTCTTCTGCTCACCGAAGCTGAAAAATTGTTAAATATTAGGACAATTTAAAAAACACTGATTTCTATTTTAATACATTTTAAAATGAAATTTTTTCCTGTGATCAAAGCTGTATTTTCAGCATCATTACTCCAGTCTTCAGTGTCACATGATCCTTCACAAATCACTCTAATATGAAGATCTGATGCTCAAGAAACATTTATGATTATTATTAATGTTGAAAACAGTTGTGTACAATTTTTGTTCAGGATTCTTTGATTAATAGAAAATTAAAAAAAACAGCATTTATTTGAAAAAGAATCTTTTGTAATTTTATAAATTTATTTATATATATATTTGAATATTTTTACCTTTGATCAATTTAATTCATCCTTGAATTCAAGCTTTCTATTTTCAGCTGTACTTTTGAACTTTCTATGAATCAAATAATCCTGAAATAAAAATGTAAATAACTGTTTTCAACATTGATAATCATTAATGTTTATATATTAACTCATATTAGAGTGATTTGTGAAGGATCATGTGACACTGAAGACTGGAGTAATGATCCTGAAAATTCAGCTTTGATCACAGGAATAAATTACACTTTACTATATATTCACATAGAAAACAGATGACTTACATTAGAATAATATTTCATAATATTACTGTTTTTTTTATATTTTAAATCAAATAAATGCAGCCTTGGTGAGCAGAAGAGACTCATTTTAAAAACATTAAAATCGTACCGATCGAAAGCGTTAGAACGGCTGTGTATTTGCAAACTTACAATTAAAAATGTGATTACATTGCATTTCTTCTGTATACTCTACATCATTATCCAGTAATATAAAGAACTCTGACACACCGAATGTTGAGAAACACACTCACGCAGTAACACACTGACGTGCTTCTCCGCTACATGATCTGAGAACAGCTTCATGAGATCGTCCCGCAGGTCTCGGTTCAGCTTGGTCTCGATGTAGAACTTGTTCTTTAACAAAGTTATGTCCAAAGGCAGACGCATTAATAGAGAATTCAAATGATCTGATAAGATCGAATCCAAAAACAATGACTATTTGCATGTTACCATATAGATGAAGACGGGGACGATGCAGTGAAGGGCGGCGGTGTACTGAGTCAGAGCCACGTTGAAGTTCTCAATCAACTGTTCTGGAGGACTGGCCTTTAGAAGAGATCAACAGCTTTACACGGATCGCCTGGATTCTCTGATCAGAGTTTCATTACGAGCACTGGCCATCAATACAATTAATAATAATAAAAAAATTCTACATTTAAATAAAAAAAAGTCATTTTATTAACATTTTAAATATATTTTTTATTTATTATTTTGTTTCTTTTTACAAAAAAAACTTAATTACAAATTTATAAAAATGTTAATAAAACGGAACATAAGTTAAATTAAAAAAAGTAATTTTTATGTAGACATTTATAATTACACATTATTTAATTTACGCATGTATTTTTATTTTTTGTTTTTATTTTTCTAAAAACATAAAAAGTCTTAATAAAATATTTTTTTTTTATTTTGAATGTGTTAATAAAAATGACTTTTAAAATAGTTATTATTTATGCATGGATTATTTTGCTTATTTTAATTAAAATTAAATTTTGCCACGAATAAAAATTTGTTATATTAAAATGTAATTAAAAAGTACTTATTTATGCATGTATTATTTTGGCTCTTTTATCTTAAAATCATATTGTGCCACGTATACTTTTATTTTTATTTTTTAATGCAATAAAAATGGTCTTTAGATATATATTTATGCATGTACTATTTAGCTTCTTTTATCTAAAACTATATTGTGTATAAAAATGTGTTATTTGAAATGCAATACAAATTGTCTTTAAACAATTTATTTATGCATGTATTGTTTTGCTTCTAAATAGTATTTTGTCATGTATAAAAAGTTATTTTAAATGTGTTAGTAAAAAAATGTATTATGCATATATATATATATATATATATATATATATATGCATGCATGCATCACTTTGCTTCTTTAATCTAAAAATCATTTATCAATAGATCAATGTGAAGAATGTGAATGTGTGTCGCAGTGTGTGTTTTAAAAGTGCACATGAACACTGTATGGATGCACTGACCTGTAGCTCAGAAGACACTTGCTCTAGATGAGACGTGATCTTCCACATCAGGTCGTTGTAGAGCAGCTCTGAGTGCTGTTGGCACACGCACTTATAAACGTGACTGGAGGAGGACAAAGCAGAAATGTGTGTTAACTAAAAAGCATGTTTGATTTTTGCTCGCTTTAATTGGAAGGAACACACACCTGTAGATCTGTTCGTAGGAGATGGAGATGTGCTCCAGTGGGCTCTGAGTGAGCAGATGCTCAATGGCTCTCTCTAGTTTCGGCCAGTAAACGGTCCTGTAATCTTCTGCCGTCATCGCGTTCAGGACTACACACACATGAACACATTAACAACATCAGGGTCAGACCAAAAGGAGCAACTCACACACGGCTTTATAAACTCTTAATATAATAGAATATATATATATATATATATATATGAAGAGTTCAGATGCAAAAGCCTCTAAATGCCATTTGAAATTTTCTTCTTTAATGATGATTTTTATCAAACTTGTATATTTAAGTTCAGTAATTTCACTTAAATAACAATTGATAGGTAATTATCATTGCCATTTTAGTGAAATTAGTAAACTTAAATATACAAGTTTGATAAAAATCATCATTAAAGAAGAAAATTTCAAATGGCATTTAGAGGCTTTTGCATCTGAACTCTTCATATATATATATATATATATATATATATAATATTCTATTATATATATTCAGTGTATATTATATTCAATGTATATGTAATATTCATCACGGAATTAAAAAGTTAAATCATTAAATAATCCTATATATATGTATATATATATATATATATATATATATATATATAGGATTATTTAATGATTTAACTTTTTAATTATATACACATATATATAAAACACACACACACATATATATATAAAAAATATGCAGTATATTCTAAAACAGCATATTTTTTATGCATGTTATCTCTATGTAGTTTATTAATGCAAATAGCTGGTTTCAAGGTAAATATTTTAAAAGATGTAACAGACAGCTAAAAGTCTTTAATTAACATTTTTATTTTTAGCGGTGAAGAACTTGGAGGCAACTGGTAATAATTGAGTGTAGTTACTCGGTAAATGACAATGCTTGATTAAATAACTGATTTTGCAGCCTTGTAAAATATATATATATGTGTGTGTGTGTGTGTGTGTGTGTGTGTGATTATTTTTATTTTTTTGTTTGACATTCACATATATATGTATGTGTATGTATGTGTATGTATGTATATCTATAAATATATATATATATATATATATATATATATATATATATATATATATATATATAATGCATTTATAGCTAATGTTATGACTACCATTAAGGGTTTTTGACATGTTCTTGGCAGTACCTTGAAATAAATACCATGCAACATGAATTTTAGTACCATGGTGGTGTATATACCACAGTCCCATGGTGTTGCCATCAGACACATGACAGTAAGTTAGCTCGGTATATTTGTAGCGTTAGTTGTTGAGACTCACGGAACTTGGAGGCCGCGGAGTTCAGGAGCAGCGCGGAGCTGTGAGTCGCCGAAGTGCCCGAACTATCGGACTCACTACTGGAGTCATCGTCCACACACACCTGAGCAGGTGAACACACACTCACACACACTCCCTCAGCGCCACAGTTATGATTATCATCCTCAATCCCCTCCAGCGGCTCCTCCTCCATCTCCTCCATCACTGACACAACTCTAACAGGCCATGTCGGTTCAAATCTCCTTCAGCTGATCGATGATCCTCGCATATTCACGATTTCACTTTCACTCCTGTTTATTTTGTTGTCAATCCGAAGCGAAATGCGGAACGGACTTCCGTTATACGGCGGATGCGTCAAAACATCAGTTCGCATGTCAAAATAAAAGTCGGCGGTACTCTTATTTGTTAAAATTGAATGTGAACTATGCTCTATTATTTATTATATTTATGTATTTAGTTTTGTTTTGGTTGTTTATGTTCTGTTATTATTTTTTATGTTAGCTTTCTGCAATAAAATAAAAAAATAAAATAAATAAAAGTCGGCGGTCGATAGAGAAAAATATTTTTATTTAAATGATTTAAGGAAATATTGATTGATTGGTTTATGGAAGCCCGTTTCCGGAACAGTTGAGTAAAAAATATAATTCTGTAAGTCATAATAGTGAAAAAACTTTCTCATAATTATGACTTAGTTTCTCATTATATTGAGAAAGTTTCTTATTATGAGATGCAAGTCATTATTTTGAAAAATATTTCAGTCATTATTATGAGAGAATTACTCATTATTAAGAGATACTAAGTCATAATTACGATAAACTTTCTCATTATAATGAGATACTAAGTCATTATTATGAGAAACTTTCTCAATATAATGAGAAACTATTAACTCTCATTATTATGACTTACATTATTATATTTTTTTACAGACAGACAAACACACACACACACACACACTCCTGTAATTTATAGATGGATAAATGATATACCTGCAACAACCTAGGTGGTCTTAAGCTATTCATAAACATTCCACTTGCTTGCTTATTTAATTTATTTGACCTGTAACATAAAAACTGGTATTTACTTAATGTAAAACGATATATTGAAATCATTTACCCAGTAACTACACTCAATTATTGCCAGTTGCCTCTTCTCCGCTAAAAATCAAAATTTTTGATTAAAGACTTTTAGCTGTCTGTTACATTACATCTTTTAAAATATTTACCTTGAAACCAGCTATTTGCATTAATAAACTACATAGAGATAACATGCATAAAAATATGCAGTTTTACTACAGTTAATGTCGAATACATTGCATATTCTTTTTAAAATGCAACTGTATGAAAAAGTTCAGAAATGCAACTAAGGTCAAGCCTACGTCAATCTTTTTAAACACAGCTGAAATTGATGCAGATACTTTTTAACCTTTTTATAACTGAGCAAAATACTTCTCTACTATTCTTGTATATGATGATGTGCATCATGTACACTATTTCATAAGGGAGTAAAAACTGTAAAAAAGGCTACATTTGCAAATTTGCTGGCAATTTAGTTTTTTGCATTTACGTAAACAAAATCCGTGACATGAAAATAGTACTTTTTTGTTTCACATTAAAGAAGTGATAATAATAAAATGCAACAAAACTGCATGAAGGTGCATGCTGATACAACTTTATAAAGATTTGAATGCCTAGTTCTCGAGAGCTTCAGTCAATCAGGACAGGAATTCCAATAGTGAAAGCATGTAAATAATTTATTTCTATACGTTCAGGAACTGAAAACTAATGGCAAACATCTGTTTGATGACTATTAAACTTTACAGTGTAGAAAAGTCTTCAACAGTAGCTGGCAAACGCCACATGAACAGTGCTTGGATCCAACAAGGAACTTGTAAATTCAGTGAAAAAAAAAAGCAAACTATACAGATAAAGTGATCTTTGGTTTGACAAACATTCCCTTTTTTTATCCCAAACAATTACATGGCAAGTTCAACTCAACTGTGTTCTCAGGCAGAAACATTCACTGGAACCAAAAACGTATATTTTACATCTAAAAATGCAAAAATACAAACAAAAGAAAGGTTTATAAGCCAAACGAGAGAGATGTTGCATGCATTAGAAGACATAACAGGAGAGGGAGGGAAATACAAAAATATATAAAAGAGACTCGAGCACGTGTGTGTGTGTTTTAGAGGTGGTGTGTGTTTGCTGTGCAGTCTGTTTGAAGGCGTGTGTGTTCACTGTCTTTCTCTGTCTCTGGTGAAGCCTCTTCCTCCTCTTCCTCACTGTCTTCGTTGGCGCTGAAACGAGAGCCGTCGCTGTCGCAGGAACTGGACGTCTCGTCTTCTGAACTGGAGTACACCTCGGCCCCGTGGAAGATGTAGCGGTTCGGCGCTTGAAATAAATACTGCGAGGCTGCAAAACAGAACCAGAACCAGAACCAATTACAGCACGTGTGCAATGAGCTTTAAAAAAAATAAAACTAAAACTTTACAAGAATATATATCTGATTGCTTTGATTTTAAGCATCTTTTGCATGAACAATTACTTCATGACAGATGAAAAATCTTAGATTAAAAACGACTTAATGTGATCCATACATCCATATATCATCATTCATCGATCCAAATATCCATCCATCCACCCTTAAATTAAATATATAAAACAAAATAATATAATAAATAAATCTATCTACCCATCCATCCATTTCTGTATAAACATAAATGAAATATATATATATATATAATATATATATATATATATATATATATATAAACAATATAAAAAAATATAAAAATTTACTGTATACAATAAAAATATATAAACAATAATATACAAATTAAATAAAATTAATATAATGAATACATAAATTATATAAAAACATTAACAATGTTTATAATAAAAAGCATAATATAAATCTAATAAATAATAAAAAAAACAATATAACATTTTTAATAAAAATAAATGAATAAAAATGTATCTCCCTCTCTAAAATTATATAGTAAATAAAAAAGCGATTTCTTTTTTTACATAAAAGGTTTTAAAGACTTTTTTTGTGTAATTTGCACCAATAAATCATCCATAATATCAGGAAAAAAAAAAAATTACCTCCAAGTCATTCAAAAATAATATAAAAACTATGTTTATAATAAAAAGCACAATATAAATGTAATAAAAACTATGTTTATAATAAAAAAGCATAATATAAATGTAATAAATAAAATAAATAATATAAAATCTATAATAAAAAGAAATGTACCTCTCACTCTTTAGTTAAATTTATATAGTAAATAAAAATTAGATTTAATTTTTTAATAAAAGGTTTTCTAGATTTTTTTTGTGTAATTTGCACCAATAAATCGTCCATAATAGCAGGAACATTTTTAAAATGTATAATTTCTTTTTTTTTTCCTGCAAGTCGTACACAAATAATATAAAAAGGATATTTATAATAAAAAGCACAATATAAATCTAATAAATAAAACATAATATAACATTTATAATAAAAATAAATGTATACAAATGTATCTCTCACACTCTCTCTAGAGTTAAAATTATATAGTAAATAAAAATGTGATTTTTGTGAAAAGTGTTTTACCCCCGAGTCGTTTGCTGATGGGACTCTGGCAGATCCGGCTCCTCCAGCAGCGTCTCCGCACCTCGACCCGCTGCCGATCGCCTGTGTCGTCAGTCGCGTCCCGTGCTTCTGCTGTCCTACAGGGACTCGCCGGCTCCGGAGAACAAGCTTTTGGGTTGGAGTCCAACTCGTCCGTCTCAGTTTCCGGGAGCGGATCTGAACGAGGGCTTGTTCGTCTGGCTCCTGGAGAAGACGCCATTTCAGGGGATTTTTTGGGAGACAGTGAAGTTTGACAATCAGTGTGTGTGACGGGCTGATCATGATCGGTGTGTGTGACGGGCTGAGCGTTATCAGTGTGTGTGATGGGCTGATCAGTGTGTGCGACGGGCTGATCGTGAACGGTGTGTGTGACGTCCGAGGACGTGCTCTCGGCGTGTAACAGGGCGGCTGGTTTCTCTGTGATCTCGCTCAGACGTGACGAGTCGTAGCACAGATGCTCAAAGTCGCCACCCAGACGATGGCAGAGTTCGTTCACAATCACGTCACAGTCTCCGAGCAGCTCCACGTCGAAGTTCAGGTGCGGCAGCGGCTCGCGGTTTATCAGGACTTGAGGCACGTCGTGAGGTATAGAGCCTGCAGAGAGACACGGATAGACAACAAACATCATTTCGTTTCATTAAAAGGGATAATCATTAGCCTGGATGCCAGCCGAGCTTAGCCCCGCCCACGACGAAGTGGGGAAGTTCGGTCTGGACTTGATCTGTTGTGAACAGAGATGTATAAAGTACTAGAAACCCGGACTTGAGTAAAAGTACAAGTGCTCTATCAAAAAAGTGACTTGAGTAGAAGTTGAAGTGCTCTTTAAGTAGAAGTATTAAAGTATTCAACATTTTTTGTACTTAAGTATTGCAAGTAGTTTATTTTAAAATTCACTACTTAAGTACTAAAAGTAAAAGTATTGTGTCATGTAATTATCAAAGAAAGCAGTCAAAACTTTGAACTAGCAATCAAATAAGGCGCTTTGGCGGGATTCAAATTTGCTTTGGCGGCCATTGCAGGACAACCCCTTCATTAGTTGTCAATGTGTGTGTCAATCAATACCATTACCCTATAAACTGGCGTGTGATTTAGGCAGCATGAAAGCCAACGTGCAACAAATGATTCGTAAAATGTTTATAATTGTAACTAGGGGTGCACGATATATCGGCCACCATATCGGTATCGGCCGATATTTGCTCATTTTTATGTTATCGTTATCGGCCTGATAATAACATTTGGCTGATTTATTAAAGCTGATAAATAATGAATTATTTCCTTCAGATGCGCACTGTTCAACATGATTGATCTTAATTGCTTGAAATATGATTGGAATCAAAAAGGAAAATATAGTTAAGTGCGTATCGGCTACATGAAATTATAATGAGAACATTACAACTGTGTTAGGGGACGGATTTTAATTGTGAGACTTTTGTTTTTGCAATCAGGCTTTCAAAAATTATATAAAAATTGGATTTAGATTTATCGGCCGATATATCGGTTATCGGCTTTCAAATATAAAGAATTATCGGTTATCGGTATCGGCCAAAATATTCATATCGGTGCATCCCTAATTGTAACGAGTAACTAGCAGAACATTAAAAAAATATTGAAGTAAAAGTATTAAATTCATCGAAAATATCTACTAAAGTAAAAGTAGAAGTATGAGAAAAAAACAATACTCTAGTAGAGTACAGATACAGCATTTTAGTACTTAAGTAGTTCTACT